AACATCCTATGAGCATATCCGAAATTGATCGTTAAATCATGTCAAATCCTCAAAAGAGCCAACGTATACTGTATTTACCACCCATGTTCATGGTCAAATCGTCATGTTGCTTCTTTTTGTTTGCAGTTGTACAGCTAGCACAGCATGATAACAATGATGACCAGAGATTACCATTTTGTCAATATCATATGTATCAATACGATGACGATGACCAATTCTTACTAATATGAAAAATCTAGTCCACTAAGCATCATTAATTGGTTATGAAAATAACCATCAATAAAAATCCATTCAAATAGTTCCGACAACACATGGTCTTTGCTCAGCGTCGCTGCCCTTGTTGATTGCCTCCCGGGTGCAAAAGTACACCGCCTCAGAATCAAACCGCTTGGACCAGCTTAGAAAAACGGAAAACCCACGGAACTTTAGACATTTAATCAAACATGATGATTGTGATGATTTATGATATTGAGATACCTTAAACATCAAACATGATGAACGATAGGGGGTGTAACCAACCAAGCTGGGAACTTCAACGGGTTGATTTAAGGGAAACTACCGGAATTTATGTTTGTGACATCCAAAATTTTGATAAAATTTGGGTTTTCTTTTCAAGCATTCCCTGGAAGATCCGTGTGAAGTCCCCAAAAAACGGATCCTATATGTTGCGCCACCACCACTACTTGGATATATGATTTATAATGAATTTACACGCAAACCCATCCTTTTGCCCACACAACTTTTCAGGGGTTTTGATTCAAGGGATTCTTAAAGATGTTTCAAAAGAGTTTACTATATGATTATATGTATATTATCTATGGTGTTACGTACTCATACTTATTCATTGATTGAACATTTACAGCCGTGTCACTGGCTGTTCGTCTGGTTCTGGCCACGTGTACAGGGCCAGCAAGTTGTACCTGTGCCCGAGAGCACCCCATCTCCTTGGGGCTTTCCTGGGGGTATCCCAATAATTAATAATAATGATATAATGGATGGTTTACAATGGAAAGTCCTATTGAAAATGGATGATTTGGGTACCTACTCCTATTTTAGGAAACCTCCATATATACATCGGTGACATCCTCCTATGCCCCCATGGTCTTGTCTGAACATGCGTGCCATTTTGCAGGGCTTCATGGCTTCATCTGCTTAAATCAGGGCAATTCCCGCTTGTTAGGGGTGAATGTGCAACTGCTTTGGGCAATAAACAAAGATGGCCAACCTATGGCAACCCCTCCTTGCAATCTTTCCAGGAAAAAACTGGGCCTTCCCGCACCTTGATTTTTGAACGTACCCTTCCCCAGAGCATTGCTTTCGAAACTAGATAAATTGATACAGTCATTTTGCACTGGAATTACCACGGTTTTTGCTCTTGGTCAAGACGTCATGAACTGCACTCCGGGCAAACGGAGGCTCCGGGCCACAAAACTGCTGTCGCGATGTTCCCAGCTAATATACTGGTAGCACGATAGTAGACTTGGACGCTCACAATTCAAAATAAATATTAAGGACCAAGGATATACACGGGATATCCTGAATATGTCCTCATGGTCGCTTTGAAGCTCATTTTGCTGGATATATATATATATATACATATGATATAATCACTTGATATCAGTTACATAGCATTTTCTGGTGAAAACCAACGCTTTTATCATAGGGACCACCATCCAAAGTAGATTTGACGCAACTAGGTCAACACAACACGAATAAACACGAAACAAATCATTCCTGGGAGTGCTACTCATCCAACTACAAGCCAGTGAAAACTTGATTTTTGATAGCCGATGGGAGCCCGAAAAAAAACTGTCCAAAGTCCAAACCAGAAGCTTCGTATTTTATTGGGATACCCGCCAGTAAACAAACATGGCAATTGAAAAGAACACATTTTTGTAGATGATTTTCCCAGCTGTAAACTTTCTTTGGTAGGGGATGTCCCAGCCACCTTTGATTCCCGGAGGGGAATGCCCCCACTCCGATGCATTTTTGGCGGCCTCCCACCAGGCGGCGCTTCATTCGTGAAGGCCATAGACCTTGAACTTGGCCATGAAGGGCCAGGAAGGGCCACCCAAAGGATAGGTGTCGCTTGGTCTCTGTCGTTAGCTTCTGGGGTTTATGGTCGAAATGCTACGATATATTGAAATATGCGTGCAGTATACATGTTACTGTTACAGTATATAAATATTTTTCCCCAACAGCGTAAGCTAGTGGGGTCTTCAGCCTAGAATAGCTCCGGTGTGCACTGGTGCAGGCGCCGGGTCAAGTTCAACGAGGTTCCAGAGAAGGTTCCGAAGGTTCCGGAGAAGGTCGGGAGGCTTTGGTGCAGAGCCAGGTCAGGTTCAACAGGGTTCCGGAGAAGGTTCCGGAGAAGGTCTGGGAGGCTTTGGAGATCGCTGTGGGGTCGTTCCAGCGTTTGGCTTCGCAGAACGCTTCAGAAAGATCTGTAAAAATAAGACATTGCGGTTGTTGGGGATACCACTGAAGCCTATTATATAATATTATATATATAAATATAGATATACACACTAAAATTATATACCAGTAGTACCGCACAAGGCGGTGGCAGAAGTTTCAAAAATGGAAAACCTATCGGAGAGGTGAATTGGTGTGACGCAAAAATGGCAGAGCGAACCCACTGATGGATTGAAAGGTGGTTGAGTGTTTCTCCCTTTCTGTCTCTCTTTCTCTCTTTCTCTCTGTGTCTCTCTTTCACCATCTATCTACAGAGCTACCTTTCTAGCCATCTACCTATCTACCTGTCTATTCATGTATCTATCGATCGATTGGTTTATTCACCTATCTATTAAACTGTCTATCTTTCTGTCTATCCAGCCATTCATCCATCCACTTACTTCTCTCTGTTAGTTTTTTTTCCGTCCATCTCTTCATCGATCCATGTCCACAGCTATCCATCACCATGTTCTTCGTTCTGTTTCTCTATCGATTCATCCATGCATCTGTCCGTCTACCTCTTCTTTCAGCTATCCATCCATCTATCTAGCTACCCATGCGTTTATCTGGTCATCGACGCTTCTAGCGATCTATGTGTCCATCTGTCGATCCATCTACCTGTCTATTGATCGATCTGTCTCTCTATCTAGCCACCCATCTTTCGATTTATCTCTCGATGTATTTATGGATCTTGCGATGCATCGATCTGTCTATCTATCTATCTATCGATCTTTTTAGTCCAGGTCATACGAAATGCTGCACCTGTCACGGAAAAGCATCTTGGCATAGCTGATGATTTGATACGCCAAAATGCAACCCCTCTCAGGAAATCAGCTCCTTGAGCTCCGAACATCTCTGCTGAAGATGCCTCTTGTACTGCGCCTGCCACGAAAAATGCATCTGTGCAGATCCTCTTCAAATCTCCCACACCTGCCATCGTTTTTGAAAATGCTACAAAACCCTGACGTTTTAGTCAGTTTTCAGTGGATGCACAATCCACTCCACCTGCCACACAAAACGACGTCTGAACGTCCAAAATGTCTCCGAGACCCTCAGTTTTTCACACTTTTGACCTCGAAATGTGCTTCGCGCCACAACGCCGTGCACTTTTTTTCGACATCTCAACTTCCAAAAGTGCTCCGAGCCGCCAGTTTTTAACACTTTTGACTTCCAAATGTGCTGCGCGCCACAACGGCGTGCACTTTTTCGACATCTCAACTTCCAAAAGTGCTCCGAGCCGCCAGTTTTTAACACTTTTGACTTCCAAATGTTCTGCGCGCCACAACGGCGTGCACTTTTTCGACATCTCAACTTCAAAAAGTGCTCCGAGACCCTCAGTTTTTAACACTTTTGACTTCCAAATGTGCTTCGTGCCACAACGGCGTGCACTTTTTCGACATCTCAACTTCCAAAAGTGCTCCGAGCCGCCAGTTTTTAACACATTTTACTTCCAAATGTGCTTCGCGCCACAACAGCGTGCACTTTTTCAACATCTCAACTTCCAAAAGTGCTCCGAGACCCTCATTTTTTAAAACATTTTACTTCCAAATCTGCTTCGCGCCACAACAGCGTGCACTTTTTCAACATCTCAACTTCCAAAAGTGCTCCGAACCCCTCAGTTTTTAACACATTTTACTTCCAAATCTGCTTCGCGCCACAACGCCGTGCACTTTTTCAACATCTCAACTTCCAAAAGTGCTCCGAACCCCTCAGTTTTTAACACATTTTACTTCCAAATCTGCTTCGCGCCACAACGCCGTGCACTTTTTCAACATCTCAACTTCCAAAAGTGGTCCGACGCTGAGGTGTTTTGTACCTTTTCACTTCGAAATCGGCTTCGCGCCACAACGGCGTGCAACTTTTCATCTCTCATCTCCCCAGATGTCTCCGCACCCGCCGCTTTAGCGAGCCTACTTTTCGACCCTCCGGAGCCACAAAACCGCGAAAAAACAGTGTTTCGCGACTTTCCTACCTTTTCGCGCACCTGCATCTTCTTTCTTCTGATCTTTTCTCTTCTGGCTCTTCTCCCTGCTGACTGCTTTTTCATCTCTCCATATTGTCGGAAGTTTGGCTTCTAAACTTCCTTCGATAATATTAAATAAATATATATATATATATAGTTTTAAAAGAATATAAAATATATTACTTACTTTGAAGAAACAACGGGCACTTGCGTTGAAGAAATCAAGGCTGGGGCTGAAAGAAACACACTTTGAACTAAGTAACCAAACAAACTTGAGAAACATCTGGCGCAAAATCTTCGCAGCGCATCCGTGTACTGCTTTGGCTCACGCCATCACGAGCCAAGCCACCTCCAAACCTTCAATCCCATGCAGCACACAATCTCGAAAGGTGGGCATGTCATACTCCAAGACCTAAAGTAAGCCTCTGGGTGTTGTTTACCCTACTAACATTATTAACCATCTTCTCTGATCAGGCTTTTGTGAGGGTTCCTATACTTGGCCCGGGATAACCCTTGCCATTTTTGTCGCCGCATCGTTGAGCGACACCTCGGCATGTTCACACGCCAGAGGCGGTTGTGGGCTTCACACCCCAAGCGGCGAGAAACGGCGGAGACCGCTCAAACGCTGACGAATGGCCAAGTACCTTCGGGCCAGGGCCAGGCCAGGGCCATGATCCCATCAGGATGACATACAGCTTGTTCCTTCGGTTTTAACATAGCCACTGACTCTAAACCAATTCAGCGCCGAGATTTACCATTGAAGAATTTGGATTGGGGTTGGCTGCAACAATTGGGAATTTTGAATCAATGTGCGGGAACAATGAAACAATCTGGATAGAGACACCAGTGATCAACAGATACTCATTGCTCTCGTTGCAGTTTAGCAGTTTAGCACTTTGGCGCTCTGTCACAACAAACCCTGAGGCTATGTTACATATATATATATATATGTTCTGTTGGGCAAATAGGTTGCCCAAACATGGCATGGTTCTAAGGTTGAAAACTGGAAACCCATGTGTTGTAGTCTTCGGCTCTTCTCTTTCGACCCATATACCCATATGCTCAACCATTGAAGCTGCCAATCTTCCATGCAATTCCCTGAATGGATTGAGAAAAAAGAAAAATTGACTCCTGTGACATGAATCCATCATTCAATGATTTCAATGCCAAATCAAATCCATCCCTATTTCGCCAACAGAATCAAACAATGAACAAACCTCGCACAGGTTGTGTGTGGTCCTGTTTAAGATGATCCATCAACCATCATGTCAGCATTTCCGCCTGTGAAATGGCAATTCTCCTGCGATTACCGAACACAAACATCAGAATGTCTCAAAAAAACAACCTATAATTGCAGATGTGCACTATATACATACATATATTTATATATACATGAATACCTAAACATATATATATATATTATATATTGACCAGAAATAAACATGAATAAATAATATATATATATAGAAAGCTGTATATATATGAGCGATTGTGAAAACCCTAGGTTCACGGAAAGGACATCCACAAATTGGGAAGGTCCCATCGCTTACCACACGTTTGTACAATAATGATATATGGTAAACTTGGGGGGTATCGCTTGCAGGAAACTGCTGCATTATATATATATATATGTGATGAACTATGAATAATATGTGATATTTGGGTATCGCTAATGTGGATATTAGAGAAATATGATGACATAACCTTGAAAAGGGGTATCGCTAATTTGGGAAGGTCCCATCGCTTACCTCGTGTTTTTAACAATTTCCATCAATTTCCATAAACCAATGTCCGTCGAATACATATTTAGTATTGCCGGGGTTTTTACGGTTGCTCATACATAATTATATATATATATATTATATATAAATAAATCAAGCGTAAATATATGTAAATATAAAATATCTATTTATACTGTACGTATTTCGAAGCACCACATGGTCCCCGCCTGCTTCGCAGCTCAGCCAAGCTGATGGACCGGGATCGACCCGGCCGCCTCTTCGGCGCGGGGCCGTGCTCAGCGTCCGGGAAGTGGCAGCAACTGAGGGCCGAGGCCAAGACCGCGGCGATCCTCAATGAGACCGGACAAACATAGGCCTGAGGAGTTATGGATGTAAAATACCATATGATATATATATATAGAGAGAGATATCATTTATATAACAGTATACATACAATAGTTAAAATTTAAAACAAATGCGAAACCTAGAACGCAGGATTCTTGTAGCGCACTGGAGATTGTGGTTACAGCAAGCGAACTGAGCCTGCTTTAGTCGAGTCATCATGGTTCATATCACTGAAGGCACAGTTTTTCTGAATATTTGAGATTCTGAAAGGCGAAGCAAGAGCTTGACTCTTTTGTGGCATGGATCTGGTGGTTGCAACGAAACCACCTCTGCTGCGAGCGTGAACCATCACTCTGACACTCTATCACTCTGACACTCTATTGTCACTCCCTTCCTGTGGCATGCTTCTTAAAGTTGGCTGACATTTTTTTTCTTTAATATATATATATATCTCTCTCTCTCTCTCTCGCTATATGTGTATATATACGTATATATATATATATAATACTAAATACCGTATACCCCCATCTGGCAGAAATTGGGCCCTATCCAAAATAGTTACGCATAGTTGTTTTATGTCGTTTGAACCCCTTGTTTTTCAGTGGTTGTATCAACCATTGATATCTATTAGTTCAAACGTTCAACTCAATTATTTATTAGCTATTCTATATCTCTATCATTCATAAAATCCTAAGAACGCGAGCAGCATTCCCTGTCCAGGCTCATGTGCACCGTCATAGCAGCGCCAGCCACCCGCGTCAGAGATGCTTCGCTCAAGTTCTGCAGGTTCCAGCGGTCCGGTTTGAAACCTGACCGTGGCCATGGATGCCCGGGAGCCAGGAATTTCAAGTGGTTTACAACCCATATATATATATATGTGTGTGTATGCATGCATGCTTGCAAGGATGTATGTATGTATGTATGTTTGTATGTAAGAATCATATAATTATTGTGATTGTGATATCGTTTGTAATATGTATATGTTCAAGAAAACAATCTATTCATATCTATTCTGAAACACAAGGTGCAGCATGGCTACAATTTTACTGTAGCCGATGTTTTGATCCGTCTTGGGAAATAATGTTCGGTACTTGTTTGTTTTCCAACCGCTTAATTACTTCAAATCATCGATTTGTCATTGACGGACTACTGCTTCATGTTGTTGGTAGAAAATCACACTCGAGTTCGAGGTCAACAACTTCCAGTTGTGCTGACTTGTCTGAGGTTGTAGCCTCCCGGAAACCATGATGGTTGCGCGTTTGATTGTGGAAGACAAGCAAGCCACTGTCATCCATAGATACATTCCAGAGAACCCAATAAATCCCCATAGGGGACATCAAATCAACTCCCATTGGATTGGTTGATGGCTATGCTTTTGGTATAGTCCCCTTCTACTAGCTGGTTCCTATACAGGATCAAGTCATCCTTTCAAAGTGGGCAAGTACAACCAGGCATCTGGATCAATTATAATTCGCATATATCCCCCTATCGCATGTAGCTGGTTGTAAATTCATTGACAAACCCCAATGGATAACCCTGATTGTTCTTGTATGATCATCTATGATCCGCACTGGCCTTGCAACATCAGCATCTCGCGACCACCCAGCACCCGTTGGAGCCTCTTGGTGCCACAGCAGCGATGTCTTTCCGTAGAATGAGGAACTCTCATGGTACGTCACAGATCCACCAATTTGTTTTTGGAGCAGGGAAACAATGGTTTTTAGACTTTTGTTTGGTGGTTCATACCCAAGAATGACCCAACATGGTGACCCGTGAATTATTGAATGTTCAGCCGTGCCAATAAAGATCCAGTGAATACCTGCATTCCAGTTTTTGCTGGACAAATCATAAAAAAATCTCTCTTTTTCTCGCTGGGATCAACCTGTTTATACATTGTTTGATGGACAAAAAATGATGCTGTCTGTTTAAGTCACATGCTGTAACCCTTGCTGCTGCTTTGTTACATCCCCACACGTTTGAGCAGTGTTCAAAACCCCTGTAAATTGATGAAGGGGATTACAGCATCCTAATCTTGAAAAGCCCCACAGCCTGTCCTCTATTACCATAGTTTTTGGAGTTATACCATGAATACTATAGTTATATCTACTATATACATACCATAATACACCATAGTTGCTGGAGTTGTATCTATTTGAATAGCTTGAGAGACTCTAGCAAATTCACAATCCAAGATAGATACTAATTTGATACGGAATTACCTATTAGATTGTGGTTTACCTATTGATCTCGGTATTACAAATAATATAAATATTATTTCAAATTTGATTGTGGTATTACTAATGTCAGGTATATTAGATCTTTGGAAAAATCTCCATCCAATGGGTGCAGGTGGCGCCTATAGGACCAAAGCCGCGTGGTCGGTGTCAAGTTGGGCACTTCCCCAGTAAAGCTCATGGCAGCGCGGTGGGCGTCCTGCTGGGAAATCCTCGATACGTTCGATTGAAAAATCATCGAACTAAAATTATATATGATACCCTCTGGTAAATTAACATAGCTATTGAAAATAGCAATTTATAGTGGATTTACCAATTAACAATGGTGATTTTCCATGGTTATGTTAGTTTACTGGAGGGTAGTTGGGAATTATATAACCATATTAAGTTATAACTATTTTACATTTTCCTATAATTGGGGATTTATAAAAACCCTTCATACATGCATGCAGCCACTAGCATCACGCAGGCAAGCATGCTTTTTTTCTCCAATGATCTACAACACATAGCTACCCGGATGGCCATTGGATCTGGCCAACCAGTTACCAACTGGGCAGCACCACAGCCCTACAGGCTGGAAATAGGCACTTGGGCCAATAGGGGGTCAGGGGGGTGGGTGCAACAATCAAGCCCTTTCCAAACAAAGTTCACCACTGGCTGCAGCTTGCTGTAGGCACTGCACAAGCCACATCATTCAGTTGTGTGCTGCACTAACACATGGGCTGCATCACTTTCAGGGTTTGATGCTTGCATATATTACAAGCAATACACTCAACCCTTCATACATGCATGCAGCCACTAGCATGACACAGGCAAGCATACTTTTTTCTCCAATGATCTGTAACACATAGCTACCCAGTTGGCAACTGGATCTGGCCAACCAGTTACCAACTGGGCAGCACCACATCCCCAACCAAAGGGTGTTGCAGATCATTGGGGCTCAACATGCAAGCAGGCGCCCAACTACAGGGTTGAGACACAAGGACAGCAAGTCAAGGAGAACAAGTGAGCACACTTAGGGCCGTTCGGCTTTCCACGGTGCGCTCGCACGTTAATCTTGCATCTAAGGCAGGGACTAAAATTTTGTGGGGTTATATTATGGCTTAAGGAATCAGCCCACTCATTGCGACATCCAGCGATGTGCCTGCACGACAAAGCGACACCTTGGCGGCAGCAGTGGAAACCTAATGCTTGAAGCACAAAACACAACGGCTGCTTCATTGACAGCATCTTGAAAGTGGAGTACGTCACACCGAAGTTGTCACATAGTTGGGCCAATTTTAGCACAAGGGACCCGTGTCGGTCACCAAATTGGCAGCGCAAGCAGAGCAGCACCAATTGGGCCAGTGCTTCGAATGCGGAAATGCAAGCTTGCCAAGATGATGACTCTGAAGAACAAAACCAAGTGGGAAGATCAGCACGTTCAAATTTAATGCTAAACCAACGAGCAGATGACGGCGTCGCTGCACAACCAGACGGACACCACCAGCCACCAATACCTGCTGAATTTTCATCGGCCCAAGCGTCAGCTGCTGCAAACTCGAGCGGTGCTTCTGCTAAGCACAAAGGAACCCCTGCGTGGGACTGCATGGCTTTTTTGAAGAGCTGGGCTGCCCACACTGCATTTTGTCGGAAGCAAAGATTAGGCTGATCTGGCCGTTGCGTGACTTGGGAGCCACAAAGCTGCAACAATCAAGCCCTTTCCAAACAAAGTTCACCACTGGGTGCAGCTTGCTGTGGGCACTGCACAAGCCACATCATTCAGTTGTGTGCTGCACTAACACATGGGCTGCATCACTCTTCAGGGTTTGATGCTTGCATATATTATAAGCAATACACTCACCATATTATAACGTTGGGAAATCCTCAATTATAGGAAATCCGTACAATGGCTGTTTTTATATTATAATGATTTTTAATGCCATATGCATCCATATGCGTATAGCATGCCGATACCGATACGTATTTACATGTATTTACTATCCGTCTATTGTGCTTCTGATAACATCTCATGCAAGATCTATAGTATCCCCCATGTGAAATACACGCAAACGCGGAGTTGCGCACATAACACACGCACACGCGCACACACACACACACGCACGCACCCACACACACACACACACATCCACCCACCCACCCACCCACCCACGCACGCACGCATGCACGCATGCACGCACGCACGCACGCACACACACACTCACACACACATGTGAGCGTATATGCAAATACTCCATGCCAAATTGTGCATACGAAAAACGATAAGGGAAGCATCCCGTGCTACCGATAGCAAGGAGCCTCATGTGCTTGGGGCCTGCATGCTTCAAGCAATGCTTTTCTCACCCCAAAAGACAACCTGCGACTCTGCCAAATCCCCTCCTGAGACACGGAGACGAACCGGATTTCTTTCCTCAGCTCGGACACCCCCACCAGCAAGGGGCACGTATTTTCATGGGCGCGTGATAGATAAATATGTATATATATATATATATGTAGTCTCTCTCTCTATATACACATACATGTGTGTAAAACAAAATATTTACTTATTTATCTATTTATCTATTGATTGATTTATTTATACGTTTTTTGTTTATGTTTTTGTCTATATGTCTACTTGCTTGATCTTGCTTGCAGATATGGTCATCAAATATGTATTAACATATGCGTATGTAGGCACACATCAAATCATGTGTTTCCAAATTCAAGAAAATCTGACTTTCTGGGTGGCCCTCGCTGGTGTTGCTACAATCTTAGTGGCGCTGTAGCTGGGTGTGTCTGAAAATGGGCTATACCCCAGTGAGTTTTAGCAGTTTTCATAGGAATGATTATTCAATGGAATTAGGGGTACCCTATTTTCAGACAAACCCCCTTGGTTTACTCTTCTTGGGACTTTGAAATTTGAAGTTAATATATAATTTATAATTCAATTGGGGATAGTTGAAGTTTGTTTAAGATAGTTTAAGTGGAAAACCACCACCTCCTCTAAAGTTTACATTCAGCACCAGTTTGGATCAAGGACCATCTTGCACACACTTTCGAACTCCAATGGTCTCGAAACGCCCCAGTATATGGAAAAAAACAACATATCACAGGAAGAAAAGAAACTGTTCATCAGTTCCACTTGAAGTCTATACCAGTAGTGGCAACAAAAAGGATACAATTTATCCATTTGAGTCACAGCCCAGCCAGAAACACATCCAGGTTGCCTGGTTGCCATGTAACTGTTGGAGGATCTATCACTAAAAATGAACTATATATATATATATACTATTTGGATCTAAGCCACCACTAAATGGGGATATAAAACATATAAATTTGACCAGAAATGAGTGTAAAGCATGGCTAATCCATTAGGGAGTTCCCCCCAATTAGATGAATCATTTGCTACTAACAGGGCATTGACTCACTTACATTTATCTGTACACTCTGGTAATTTAACATAGCTATTGAAAATGGCCATCTATAGTGGGTTTTCCCATTGAAAATGGTGATTTTCCATAGTTATGTTAGTTTACCAGAGTGTAGATGATCACCAATCAAACCGAAGCATGACCAATCAAACCTGCGCCTGTAGAGGTCTGAGAGTCTTGTTGCTCTTTGCTCGCAGCCAGTGGATCTGGCAAACATCCGCCTCACGGTAGGTTCTCAGCCACCTGCCCAAGGTGAAAAAAAGGAGATCTGCGGATGGAAATTCTTCAAATATAGGGGTAGCAACTGGGAGTTCATTGCTTTTAATGGATTCCGTGGGATTTTATGAAGGCTGTGGATGGACAAGCCATCGTGCAGTGTGAACAACTGTGGGATGAAAAAAGGGGGATTCACAGGATTTCTACCATCTACATACCAATTGGCGCAAGATTTCGCAACCATCCGCAGTATATGGAATCAGCCGTATTTTGAGGGGAAGAGTGACTGGTTGATTTAGGAAGTTAGCTGGAGCTTCTCAGATAGCTTTTGGATTCATAGAGCGCGGTATAAAGGTTTGGAAATCCTGGTTTATATAGTGTCAGAATTTTGGATCCATTCATGACTTGGTTCTTTAAATAAAATTGGGAATATCTTATGTTAGTTGGATGCGATTAATGATTAGTGAGTGGAAGCAAATGGGGCATTGAAACTCAACAATCGACAATACCTGACTCATGAATTTTCAACAGGTAAAGCAAATCTATAAAATACGATAAATAGATAACGCCCGTTTATTGAATGATGATTTAAAAACTCTCTAGATCATGAATCTTCATGACAACGACTTTTCGGATGGCATCACTTAGCTATAGGATGGCACTGGTTTCGCCTCCCAAGATGAGCTCCAGCCAGCTGAAAATAGGTCATGTCATCCAAAGGCAGTCGCAGTTCATGTCGCAGGCGTCGGTGGAGATAGCTGGCCTCAGAGGAGAGCAGCTCAGCAGCTCGGCCGAGAATTTTATACATCTGTCGAAGGCCTCCAAAAAAATGGAAACCCAGTTCATAAATGGTTAATAAATGATGGTTAATGATCGTTACTGATAGTTAATGATGTTTTTCTGTGGGTAAAACAATGACTGGTTGGTGGTTGACCTACCCCTCTGAAAAATGATGGAGTTCGTCAGTTGGGATGATGACACTCACAATATGATGGGAAAAATAAAATTCTTGTTCCAAACCACCAACCAGTGGAAGCCCAGTTCACAAAACCAAAGATGCATCACTGGAAACCATCGATTTCCCTTTGAAAGATGAAGTGTTTCTGCGACTTCCCTTCGATGAAACTCCCACACCCTGCCGAAGTTTTTGGTGAACAACAACCTCTATGTCCCAGTAACATCAGCACTCATGCCCAACAGCGAAGCCACGTTTTTGTCACTCCTGGAGCGTTTTTGTAATGGTTGGGTTGGTCCTGTGAAAGTTGCACCACTTTAAATTGCTTCTGCAAATACCCGCTGCACATAGACAAAAAGTAAACAGGTATAGAAACACAATGTATTTGCAGGGTCTTCTTGGAACTGTCCCCAGCTGAAATCCTGATCTTTTTCAGGCTTGAAAAGAGTTGCATTGCAAATCCCACAGTGTAACCTTACCCCTTTAGGGACTTGCATTGCTGTTTCTTAAAAACGACAGCAATAGTTGCAGCAAACTCATTCTTTTGTTTTCCTTTTCGAAAAACTATTTTTCCAACTATAATGACATTTTTCTATCAGAATCATAACTATTAAATTATAACTATCTGTTGAACCCATATAATTATCTTGTTTGGTGATTTCGACTCTCTGCTGCTGTCCCCTTGGGCGAGGGCTGCGACTCGAAGTTCAACGATTCCAGCAGGTCCTGAGCGAATGCGTCCCAAACATGTGATATAGAGATACAAAACACCCAAATAAGTATAGACACGTAGAATCTAGACACTTGTGATTATGTCAACAAAATCCCCAAAATCTAGACATATTATCATTAATATATAGTATTGATTAATTTCGTGTTGTCTATGATTGATATGATTAATGTGGGCCATTTTGGGGGTTCCCAATACAAAGCTACGACATCAGTATCCTGGCCTTGTGCCTTGTTGTGACCCCGTTGGTTTTTTTGATCCCCGCTATTTGCATGCAACACACCTATATATATATAATATATATATATATAATATATATATATAATATATATAATATATATATAATATATAATATATATATATATTAATGATTATAAGTGCCACTTCATTGCTACTCAACCTCTGTCTATCTTTTGCCGTCACGTCCATGAACCAATCATTTACCCACTTGTGGACATGGGTTTGGCTAAACATGAAGGATAGCCCTGGTTTTGGGGGTCGCCATGATCATCATCCCAGTGTATAGCAAAAGCCAGTCAAACCACCGACCGTTTGTATCTTAGATGAGTGAATCCCATGTTTGTTGAGTCCCCGTGGTTGTTAAAAATCGATCCGCATTTGTATGTGATTAAACTCCCTGTGTTGCATTCTGGAATCCATGTCACATGGTGAAACATGTTAAATATCCATCAAATGTCTATTGTACCACCAGTAAAACCCCATGTTATCCCCATAACATCCATTCAAAATCCATATAAACGGCAATTTTCATGATAAAACATATCACTACGAGTCACCATTTTGGATGGTCAAATCCTTACTTTGTATGGTTAAGATCATTTAAGATCTGCATTTATGGCACTGGGTTTCTCCTTCTTCGTCCATAACAGGGTCCTCTGCGTCCACTGATGGCTCCACAGTTCGCAGCTGCGCCAATGCTTCTGAAATCTTTTCAAGGGGCTCCTGTGATTCTCCGTGATTTCACCCAACATCTGCGGTTTGCAAAGATTCAACGGTGAGTTCAACGAACAAACCGACGATTTTAACAGAGAACCGGCGAAAAAATCAAACATGACTCTTTATCTAACCGGCAACAGCGGAGGTTTAACAACAAACAATGATAAAAGATGAATAAACCGGGAAACGTGGGTGGTCTCTACCAAGATAGGCATCAGACTTGGGGATGGGCAGAAGCCACAAGAAAATCTGCTTGGTGGAAGATCAATTTTTCTGTGGAAGTTACATACCTGGAAAACATAGTGTATCATAATTTCAGTCACTGAGCCACTCCGTTTTGTTCCTTCATTTTTTCATTGTCACAGGGAAGTGTAACATCTTGAGAATATGAACCCTACCGGTATTTCTGTCACTTCAAGGGTATTCACGCCGGTTTGAAACGGAATGATGCCACGTTTAGACGGACGCAACTCGCAAAGTTGCTGCTTCTTGGCGCCAAAGGTATCACAGTGACAAGAAAACACTCACTAGTTCGAAGTATACTAAAATTATAAACCACTTACGCGTTCCAGGTAGAACGTGGTTTCAGGGATATATATATATATATTATAATATATATATATATATATTCACATATATATATATATTCACACACATATGTATATATATTATATACATATCTTATAAACTATCTATCTATCTATCTATCTACCTACCTACCTATCTATCTATCTATATATATATATATATCTATCTATTTATCTATCTATATATATATATATATTTGATCTATCTATCTATATCTATCTATCTATCTATCTGTCTGTCTATCTATCTATCTATCTATCTATTCCTATCTTTCTATTCCTACCTATCTATCTATCTATCTATCTATCGATCTATCGATCTATCTATCTATCTATATAGCATATATCTATCTATTTGATCTATCTATCTATATATCTATCTATATATCTATCTATCTACCTACCTACCTATCTATCTATATATCTATCTATCTACCTATCTATCTATCTTTCTAGCTATCTATCTATCTAAATATCTAAATATATATATATATATATCTATCTATTTGATCTATCTATCTATATATCTATCTATCTATCTATCTACCTATCTGTTCCTATCTTTCTATTCCTATCTATCTATCTATCTATCGATCTTTATCTATCTATCTATCTATTCCTTTTGATCTATCTATTCCTATCTATTCCTATCTATTCCTATCTATAACTATTCTTTCCTATCTATTCCTAAATTTTCCTATCTATTCCTATCTATTCCTATCTATTCCTATCTATTCCTATCTATTCCTATCGATTCCGATCGATTCCTATCTATTCCTATCTATTCCTATCTATTCCTATCTATTCCTATCTAATCCTATCTAATCCTATCTAAACCTATCTAATCCTATCTAATCCTATCTAATCCTATCTAACCCTATCTAATCCTATCTATAATCCTATCTATAATCCTATCTATAATCCTATCTAATCCTATCTAATCCTATCTAATCCTATCTAATCCTATCTAATCCTATCTAATCCTATGTAATCCTATCTATTCCTATCTATTCCTATCTATGCCTATCTATTCCTATCTATTCCTATCTATCTACCTATCTACCTATCTACCTACCTATTTATCTATCTATCTATCTAGCTATCTAGCTATCTAGCTATCTAGCTATCTATCTATCTATCTATTGATCAATCTATCTATCCTATCTATGCTATCTATCTATCCTATTTATCCTATCTATCCTATCTATCATATCTATCATATCTATCATATCTATCATATCTATCCTATCTATCCTATCTATCCTATCTAACTATCGATCTATCCATCCATCCATCCATCCACCCATCCATCCATCCATCCTATCTATCTATCCTATCTATCTATCTATCTATCTGTCTATCTATCTATCTATCTATCTATCTATCTAGTTATCTATCTATCTATCTATCTAGTTATCTATCTATCTATCGATCGATCTATCTATCTACCTCTCTATCTATCTATCTATCTATCTATCTATCTATCTATCTATCTATCTATCTATCTATCTACCTCTCTATCTATCTATCTATCTACCTACCTACCTACCTATCTATCTATCTATCTATGTATCTATCTATCTATCTATCTATTTGATCTAACTAATTGATCTAACTAATTGATCTATCTATCTATCTATCTATCTATCTATTTGATCTAACTAATTGATCTAACTAATTGATCTATCTATCTATCTATCTATCTATCTATCTAATCTATCTAATCTATCTAATCTATCTAATCTATCTAATCTATCTAATCGATCTAATCGATCTAATCGATCTAATCTATCTAATCTATCTAATCTATCTATTCTATTTAATCTATCTAATCTACATACTATCTAATCTATTTAATCGATATATATATATATCTCTCTCTCTCTCTCTCTGTCTGTCTGTCTGTCTGTCGGTCAGTCTGTCTGTCTGTCTGTCTATCTGGCTGTCTATGTATTTATCTATGATCTATCTATCTATCTATCTAATTAATCTATTAATTAATCTTTTAATTAATCTATCTATTTGATCTAACTAATTGATCTATCTAATTGATCTGTCTATCTATCTATCTTTCTTTCTATCTACCTATCTACCTTCTACCTATCTCTATCTACCTATCTACCTATCTACCTATCTACCTATCTATCTATCTATCTATCCATCCATCCATCCATCCATCCATCTATCTATCCATATATCTATCTATCCTCTATCCTCTTTCTATTTATCCTCTATCTATCTATCTATCTTATCTAATCTAACCTAATCTAATCTAAGCTATCTATCTATCTATCTATCTATCTATCTATCTATCTATCTCTCTGTTTGTCTATCTAACTATTTATCTATCTATCTATCTAATCTAACCTAACCGAATCTAATCTACCCTAATCGAATCTATCTATTCGGAAAGGGTTGTTTGACCTGGGTTTGGAAGATTCTTTACTACTCAATGTTTTTTTATAATGGCGATCTGGGGACGCGCGAAAGAAATACGATAACAGCCTTGGCCCTCGAGAATGTATGACGTCGCAGGATTGCTGAGGTGTGGTGGCCCCTTTATTTCCTGAATTCTTTGTTTATTCATGGCTGGAATCTAGAAACTGACTGAATGTCGGTTTGGAATGGCTTGGACACATGTGTGGAAGAATGTGCAAAAATTATACCTTATATATACATTCCTTACCTACATACCATGATTGGCCATTGACATAAAATGGGGAATTCTCGCAAAAGGTCTTGTGGGCAACTTCACCATTTCATGGTATTTCATCATATCAGCCCGGGAAAATAGGTTGCTTCCCAGGATTCCAAGTTGCCCGACGAGGCCCAGTGGCTCTGTCCTTGTCGCCCCTCTGCAAATGTTGACTGCTAATCATGACCTCGGCAACCAGGTGACATCACCGCAAAACAATGCAGCTCTTGAAGCAACAAGAACACCTTTCTTTTGATGGGTTGGTCGGGAACAGAGCAAGCCCTCCCACTTTTGAATCTCATTCAAGGTGTCTTGGTTTTATCACACCCAGTCTGGGCTGAAAAGAAGGAACCGCCATGGGGTCAAGTCATGAAATGACAAACAGATTGAATACGATGACTTCATCCCAATAGAGCACCAAAAAGTGTCCAGTACATCCCCCAAACAAAGCCAAAATGGAAGCTATGAGCAACTATTGCACTTAAAAATACTTGAAAAGCCCATGATTCGGCATTGGTTTCCCTGCGGAAACCATGGCTGATCGATATTCTGCACCTATTCTCTGTCCTGCTGGCGCAAGGCCCTGAACACCCGTCCAGGTACGTAGTAGAGTCGTTGCCGCCTCTGGGGAAGACCAAAATGGGAGGCCGTCACCTGGGCGAGTTACGTGACCTGGCTGTGCTCCTAAAACAAGGATTATTGACTAATGTAATTGGTTTACACTACAGCTACTAAGACTGTGTAAGTGCTATACAATCATCAAAGATTTAATCCGAATGTTTTGTTGTTTTTTTTTTGGGGGGGTGAGGTTTCACAAGAGTACATCTCAAGGGCAAATGCCATATGGCAACTGTGTGTTGGGGATGATGTCTTCTCTGCTTTAAACGCAAATCTCGATCCTAAGTCATGAGATAACCGTAATTTCATCGAAACACGCAATTTTGGACGCAACCTTGTTCTCAAAAGAATCATTGGAACTAATTAATTGAGTTATCAGGAAAGCATGCTCCTTAACTCCCCGAAGACGTGGGGGGCTGCTGTCAAACTCTACGAGGCATGGAGGCAACAACTTCAATCCACGCACTGGCTGGAAATGAATTTGTGGGACTGGATTGAGACTCCGGTGCAAATTCATGGGCCAACCCTAGATTTGGGCGTGAAAATCAGGCGTTTTCTCCTGGGAAAAAAACACCATTCAGAAGGTTGGATCGCAGCTTTGATCGGTGACGGGTCAGAACTCCACAATGATTGTAACACCTTCTTGCATGACATGCAGTGCATAGCCTAGGCGTCTGGATATGTCTGGATGACATCCTGTTTCCAAAAACCGCTTTCAAAAGCCGCGCGTCTCACACCCTCTCTTGGCTCGAATATGTTAGTATGAAGGGAAAATCCTAACCATAGCCACACCATGCTACAATCCAGAATGGGTAACCCATACGTCTGTACCTATAAGTTTAGTATCTTTATGGATCTATGATAATTTATCTTCTTCAAAATCTAACTTGAGGATTCAATGAATGTTGTTACCCCAATGTTTCCCCCTTGTTTCGGCGGATGATCCCAGCGGTGGGCGCAAGATCACCAAGGCACGTGGAAGGTGTCCACCTCATAGTCCCCGGCTTGACTCAGGAGGGCCAAAATCGAATCTGCTGGAAGATTCCCATTCTGGTCCTGGACCCCACCCGCCTTGGGAAAGTGACTGCACCTGTGTCTGGAAATCGGAAATGTGCAAAATGTGTTCGATGGTTACAAACATAATGAAATAGAGTGAAGTAATGTAACTAGCAGAAACACCGCCCACGTGGAGCCCGCCAGTCTCCCGGCGTTTCCTCCCGCCCTGCCACCACCAAATCTTCAAGAATGACCTCGGTGGGCGATGTGGCTGGTACCCCGGTACCCCATGTAAAACGCATCCGCCCATTGGCATCATGCTAGGGGAAAAAATGAACTTTCAATATTTTAAAATTACCTGTCAAAGTTGTTCTTTGGCTTTGGGTTACACTTGCGTAGTCTCAAAAAAAGGGGCACCCCAATTCTAATCTCTCTCGAGCGCCATCTCTCAAGTTCAGCGAGGCTGAAGGCGTACTCTTTGGGTATCTTTGGGATATTGCACCGTTTTTGGTCAAACATCATTTTCAGCATGGTGTTTGGCCTTTTACACGTCCAATGTCATGTCCCATTCAATCTTCCATTATGTTTGTTGGTTTCTGATCCCCATTAACTAGTTGGATATTATATACATTGCATGATATAACTTAACCCCAAAATCAACCCTGGTGAAATGGCACTAATGTTCACCAACTTACCATGTGGGGCCCCCTAGATAGCTAAGTTGGTTTATAACTCCAATAACATCCACTAACATCCAATTACATCCAATTACTATAACTTATAACTCCAATAAAATCCAATAACATTCAATAACTATGGTTTATGCTACTTTTAAGTTTATGTGTATATATATATATGATGGGGATCAAACACCAACTTATAACTGGGGGGCCCTACATTGTAGCTATCACTGGGCCCAGGGGCCAAGCGTGGCTGGTGCTCCATGATGTACTTCACAGCTGCCAGAAAGCGGTCGGGGTTTGGCCCGTGGACTCCGGCATTGGAGATGTAGATGTCCTCAGGCCATACATCGGGAATTTCAGGGCCCTAAAATGGAGGTACTGTACCATATAAGCCCAAATTTTGTGGGAATATTCCCTTATAATCGTATATAGGCCGTATATAGGCTTTATATATGGTAGGTACCTCCAATTTAGGTTCCTGAAATGGCCATTGAACGCATAGGCCACGAATGACAAACTAACGTGGCGAGCCCAATTTTTGTGGGATTGATATGGGGGTTCTATGGGAATAACATCGTATAACCTAGAGTGTAGGGAGTTTACAGGGATATTAAAAAACCATAGGATAATCCAATAATCCAGTTATATATATATATAGCTTTATATGAGCTATGTATGTGTTTTAAGGGATTTACCCTCTGGGAAATTACAACCTTGCTTGGGAAAATTGTCCATTTATATATTGTTTAGCTATAAAAGGTGATTGTTATGTTAAATTACCAGAGAGAAAGCCATGTTGAACTTGGCTTTACTGTTGTGCGTGCCCCGGAAAAAAGACTAGGATATATTAGGATGATTCGGGATGATGTAAATCACCTCCAACTGGTTGGTGAGATGGTTTACTATTGAGCCATTTGACCAGGTTGATTAAGCTATCAACCAACTAGTTTACTGAAATATCAACCAGCCATTTAAAATAACAAGGTTGATTGAGCTATTAGCCAGGTTTGACATGTATACTGAAATGGGATAGGACTATTTTGGATGGCTCCAGTGGGATTGCCAGATTAATAGGGAACAAAGACAATGCTGGACAGTTTGCACCTTGTGGCTCAAGGCATCCTGACGAGTGTCTCCATCGAAATTAACCAGCATGCCTACGATGATTGGATTGAACCCCGTACAAAAATATGATATTTCATGACCATGCTGGGCTGCAAACATCATTTCAGCTGGCAAACACACACACACACCTATTTACAGTAAGATACAAACCTTGACAAAGCGCCTTTATTACCGTATTCACTCAATTGTTTGCCACTTACTTCCCAGCTTTCCTGATTGAAATGCCATCAGCATAGACGCCACTTAATCATCTGCGTTTTACGGTTCTTATCCAATAAATATGTGGCATTTGAGCAATGTCAAAAACTTACTGGACGGTTGGTTCATAGGCATTTCAATAATTAACAATGGATTATGACATTATGATAATAGAAAACCCATGGGTTTTGCTAGGAAAATGATCTATAGATGAGATGGTTGTTGTTCCGCATCTATGCAAACGTTTACTCTGGGGCAATCCCCTAGATATTTGATGATATTTAGAAGTGCAACTCCCTCCAATCATCAACTAACAGGACCCCTTTCTTTGCCAGCGGCCGGTTGCTCATGCGGCATCGGCATCCAGCGACCAGAGACCAAGCAAAAGCAGCCTCCAATGAGGAATTCGTCTCCAAAAGCAACGCACTTTGGGATGTGATGTCATTCTGACTGAATAAAGGTCATTAACCAAGATGGCTTGACGATTCCACCAACACATATTTTGAACTCCAAGCAGCAATATCTAAACTTTCCGGTTAGTTGCATACAACAAATAAACACTCCCCAATGACCCAATAACTTGCCAGAAATGAGGTGGTGTAAAGCATCCACATGTGGCTAACGAAATGTCATAGACCGTCATGAACCCCTAATTTGGCGAAGCTGTATCTGCATGTAGTCCGAATGATTCCAAATGTGTTTATTTCCTTTGAACAAGTTTATATAAAAGCAAAAAAGGAATACCCTCTGGTAATTTAACGTAGCCATTGAAAATGACCATTTATAGTGGATTTTCCCATTAAAAATGGTGATTTTCCATAGTTATGTTACTGTTAGTTTACCAGAGGGTAATCCTTTGAGACCCCCATTCGTTGTTTCAAATCTGTCTGTTACACCAAACTAGAAGTGAGCCCCAAAAACAAGGGAAAATGCTTTGGATCTGCGGGATCTACACGGTGGTTCATCCCAATTAGTTAGCGGGTGAACGGTACAACTGTCGTACTCCCAGTTATACATGGACTAAGTCACTAAGTCTACTTATCCTACTTATATTACCATATTACCCTCTTTAACATAGCCACGGAAAATGGCCCATAGAAATAGTTGATTTACCTATTAATAGCATGGTGGATCTTTCCAGTTCGCTATGTTAGTCATAACCAGATGGTGATTTTCCATGGGAGTTATAAACCCAAAAAACAACTCCTGGATGGCTCGCCACCGTGCTCCCAACCTCGATCGCGGCCGATCATGCTCCCAAAGAGCCGCTCCGGCGGCTCCGCCTGCGAGGACAGCAGTTGCTGGCCTGGGCGGTCGAAGCCGGTTGTATCACCCAGGCTGGCCGGGATATCACCGTTGAAAAATGGGAGAAAAAAACGGTTAGGATAGGAATGTCTATAGGAAAATCGTCTTAAAATTGATGACTGTCCACTTCTATATGTCCTCCAACTAAGGTGGAAGTCGAAAACCACCATAAAGATATGGAATGCGCATAAAACATGGTGGATTTCCAAATCAGAAAACGGTTTTATATGCGCACATATCATATGAAGTAGTCTTCGGGTGGATGTGTCTTGGACAACCAACTCCGAAGCCTGATTTCGGTTTGTCTGAAAATTTGGTACTCCTAAATCTACTGGTTAAACCTTGATCATCATTTTTCCTATTACATAGTAAGGTTTGGGGTACAAGCGATCATGGCAGTAGGCAATTTCGGCCAGGCCGCAACATCATCAAGAAAACCCAACCGGTCTTCACTACCATTATAAAATACCAACAATCCAGGCCTTGCGCGTGAAAATTATATTATATAAAATTATCATAAATTATCCTACAACTGGTGTGAAGCCTATTACTTCAAGTTCGATTCTAATCAGGGTGGTACTTTTTTTACAAGATATAGATGGATATACATGGTACATCATGGTACTGTTTTTGTTTCAATATCCAACATCTTCAGTTCCAGGTTCCATCAGCCCTCCAAAATTTGCCGCCCAGCAGCTCGAGGGATCGGATTCGCAGGCGAAGATGTGGCGGCATTTGACGCCCAACTCCACCAGCGCGCTGGGGGGTCCGATACCACCGCCGCAGTCAGTGGCGATGATCAGCCTGGGATCGGCTAAGGTGGGGCCTCCTTGTTGGATGTCAACGATGCTTTATAAAGCCCATCAGCTATACATATATTGTTATAAGATGTTGTAAGTTTAATATAAGTTATAAGATGTTATAAGATGTTAGAAACCGTTTGGGAATGTTTGGGGGCCCCACTTTGTAGGAAATCATCATTGCAACATTGCATATATGAAAGTGCAGAATATAGAATGGAGGAAACATGGATAGATTTACAAACAAGAACCAAACAAACGATGGTGGTATGTGCTGCAGCCCAGAAGCTCACGATCTGGAAGCACCACACCTGGAACTGGCAAAACCTATGGAGAACCCCCAAGAGGTTACCCCAAAGATCCCCAAAGCATCGGAATATGTTTCCCATATAGACGTTTTCCACACGTATGTTGAAACAACGAAAGACTAAAAAGGTCACAACAGAAATCCACAGAATGAATACGCTCATGTAAGAGCCACAACATGTCATGTGTTCCTCTCAACTGTCCTTCTCAAGTCTCTCAGGGTCCTTACCAAACAAAGAAAACACCGATAACAGAAATGGATAAACATTAAACAAAATCATAGCGATGGAACCACTTGAAATCAAACATCATAAATAGATATGAATGGACAATTTCAACCTTAACTTTCACGTCAATGATTCTTTACAACCAGCCGAAGAGAAGTCCCTCTCTCTCTCTATCGCCGCCGAAGAAAAGTAGTCATAGTAACATATAACAATGTATCATGAAAAAGGTTGTCCGCATATGGTCCTCGCAGCTTCAACTGGGTTGTTCGAAACAACGTCACCCAACTCAAGGGAATTCAATAATCGTTCACATCAGCTATATGTTCAGCATATATATATATAATTGCTTTTTCAACTTTCCACTTCATGTTCCGCAAAGAATTGCAATGTTCGATCCTGCTTTCCTTTCAACTACCCATTCAAACGATCCTTGGCATGCCAAGAAAAAACAGTATACTAATAAATGCGTGTAATTATCAAGATTTATCAAGTATTCCTCGCAACTCTCACAACTTATCCTACATTCCTACATTTTTCCCTGGAGGAAAAAACAACAACAACCAACCAGAAATCCTGAGGGTATCCTAAAATAGCGGCATTCTTTTCCTGAAGTTTTCCCCTTAAAAAGAGCAGTACAAAAAAAAAACAAAAACCAAAACACACCTGTTGTTTTTAACCTCCCACCTTAATTTTTCCTTAGAATTGGTGGTACAAAAACCACACTTTTCTCCCAATCAATCCGTCCCAAGGCGCCCAAGCGCGTCAACCAATGCGCTTTCTCCGGCGCCCGGCGCAGCCGCTTGGAGGAACAGCCACCGTCCGAGGCGTCAGCGTCGGCGGCCGATGCGGCCGTTGCGTCCGCCGCGGCCGTTGGCGCCGAACGTTTGGCGTTCATGGCGTGTTGGGATCCAGAGGTGACTTATGGTGACATATGGTGACTTGTTTTTACAAAATGGGGAACGTTTACCATGGAAAAAATGATGGAACATGGACATTTTACCAGGGAAAACATAGGAAAACGATAATCCGATAAACATGATTCACCAACTGGAGTTGTTTACCAAAAACTTCTCATGTTCAGTGGAAAATTGCAGGATTAAAAAGGATTTAAATGAGTCCACTGATCCAAGATAGTTTAAGCAGCGGGAATAAACATAGGTCTAGATAAACTCTCCAGAATAGCAAGTGTGATCATGGGTAATTCAAAACACCAAAGTCTTTGGATTTCACTGAAATAGACCCCACCTGGGATCCCAATCGTGGTGTGCCAACTCACTTAAACTGGCTGAATCAAATGGAGACGACATAGTTCCAAGTGATGGTAACACTGCATCCATGCAACGTGTGGGATGATATGAGCCATTCAAAATGAAATACAACGAACTTGTAGACTTGTTGTAGGAAAAATGTGTAGATGTGACTCTGGCCCTCCTCAAAGAATGATGGGATTGGGTCTGGTACGTGGTTTCTCTTCAACCCCACTCTAGGACTGTAAAAAACAAACTTTGACTTGAACCCGTGACTTGGAAAGGCTTGGATATCCCTCCCTCGAATTCTGTCAACCTGCGCGCGCCGTCCGGATTCCAATTTTGGAAGTCCTATGTACAGCCAAGAGCCAGGCTGCACATCACGGGAACATGACTCCCTTGTTTGTGGTTTCACCCCATCCCGAAATATTGGTCAACTGAGTCAAACTGGGCTAAAGAATTGCCTGTTCCTAGTTGCTGGCTCAATCCCGAACTTCAAATGTTTTGTGATTCACTTTTTAGGTAATTACTCCCTAAAGATTCAAATGTTCCACGTTGTTCCAGCCCCTTTGAAACATCAAAACAAGTCTGGCTGCTCCTCCCGTCCATGTTTTCTCTTGGTATCCCAGCAGGGAGGCAGGGTCCAAGGCCCCCTCTTCGTCCGTGGGATCCACCTCACCATCGCACAAGGTGCCCCCATGCGACCCCCCCAGTTATAAGGTAGTTAACCACAGAATAAATGAAATATGTCTACCATAAAGCCTACAAAAATTGGAAGGATAAACCAACTTAGCTCACTATGGGGCACCACCTTGTAAGTAAAGAATGACTTTGGAACTACCCAATGCTGGTATCCCGTGGTGAACTTTACACCACGCCTTCTCGTTTAGTAACCCCGGCAAAGCCACTGCATTGGCACATCATATTTCACCCTCCATGTTCATGTTGATCAAACAGGTTTTCTGAACCACATAAGTTCAGTGATTCAGCTTGTATGAATTGGTTAGCATAATGTTGAAAAGGAGATGCTGCAGCTATGACTGGAGTGAGAGAATGCTGCCACAATTTCATACAATTTCAACATGTTGACAACAATCTCCTGTGGCAAACGGGTCAATTCTATATTGTCTCTACTTACTCCAGCATGCCTTTATATGTTTTTCCCCACCTGCCAGGTGAGGGTTGTTAGATTTTATGTCAGTTGCCTGCTCCTCCTCCTCCTCCTCTCCTCCTCCTCTCCTCCTCCTCCTCGTCGTCCTCCTCGTACTCCTTGTCCTCCTGCTCAACTGCGACCCGCGATCCACAGTGTTCTCTGTCGGACCTCAACCACGACCATCCATGCTCAGTGTTCCCTGCCGGACCTCAACCACGACCATCCCCGCCCAGTGTTCCCTGCCGGACCTCAACCACGACCATCCATGCCAGTGTTCCCTGCCGGACCTCAACCGCGACCATCCACGCCCAGTGTTCCCTGCCGGACCTCAACCGCGAGTATCCATGCCAAGTGTTCCCTGCCGGACCTCAACCGCGAGTATCCACGCCAAGTGTTCCCTGCCGGACCTCATGTAGGAAGATATGGGACAAAGAATGTGCAGAAGAAAGTTAGAAAGAATGTCAGAAGATATGTCAGAATATATGCCAGAAGATATGCCAGATAGAATGCCAGATAATATGCCAGAAGATATGCAAGATAGAATGCCAGATAGAATGCCAGAAGATTTGCCAGATAGATATGCCAGAAGATATGCCAGAAGATATGCCAGATAGATATGCCAGAAGATATGCCAGAAGATATGCCAGAAGATATGTCAGAATATATACCAGAAGATATGTCAGATAGAATGCCAGAAGATATGTCAGAATATATGCCAGAAGATATGCCAGATAGAATGCCAGATAGAATGCCAGATTGAATGCCAGAAGATATGTCAGATAGAATGCCAGAAGATATGCCAGATAGAATGACAGAAGATTTGCCAGATAGAATGCCAGAAGATATGCCAGAAGATATGCCAGATCATATGCCAGAAGATATGCCAGATAGAATGCCAAATAGAATGTCAGAAGATATGTCAGATAGAATGCCAGAAGATTTGCCAGTAAGAAAATGTATAAATGTCATGGTGGGGATCACACGAAGTAAAGTAATTGCTATACCGTTAGAGCTTTCTTCAAGCTGCAAAGTGAGTACATCAGGGCCGCCCAAAATGGAACATGTTGTGAGGTTGTTATAGATGGTATTTGGAGACTGCCATCAATGAATTGGTACACCCATAGCGACATCGAACTGTGAGTCTTGGAGGGTAATTCTCCAGCTATGTGCTTTCCCTATGTTGAATAAAAACCAAAATGGTTACTCCTCCGACGGACCCCCCAAAAAAGGGCTCATCCGCCGCAAGAAATTTCCAGTTTGATTCACGTCAAATTCACCTCCTGCAATTGCCCTCTTGCTTCACCCCTTTATCCAGCAAGGGAACGATCAAACCGGGCTTCAGGTAGAAGGGGTGCAAGTGATTATGACCTTAAGCTGGCCCTGTGGCTGGCACGCAACTGGTCGAGGATGGGGTTCCCCATTGGATACTTCGGAATCCGCATGAGAGTAATATATTGACCCGTAAATGAACCATAAACCAGCCAACAATTGGGCATTGCTCAGATCTTTTCACCAACATCTACTAACTATACTTACATACACTACAGGTGGGGTCTTTTCTGACATTTTCATCAACAGAAAGGACAAACATGTAGCGGTTGGAACTGAACATGCAAACTAGTCAAACCTCCTAAACTACGGACTGTGAGCCACTGTGAGACCATCATAGACCATCATTATCTGAAAGGCTATTTCCACAAATAATTGTTTGACATACGTCTCCATATGGGTTTATTTGAAAATGTGGTAATTCATGCCATCCACCGCTTAGGAATCAATCAGACACACCGTGAGACACACCCATGGATTTCTGGTCGATTGGTTGGTTAAATAATGAAAGCCTACCATCTCTATTTTCTCAGGGAACGCACCCACTCCATGTCGCCACCACGTCACCCAAGCGGTCCACCTTCTCGCCGAAACGTGCCTGGGGAATTCCATGAAACCCGTCAGTTGCGCCAGACCCTCCAGAGTCAAACGTGGCTGGACAATCCCCAGCCAATGGAGTTTCGAATCAGAAAAAAAACATCGAACTAAATGCCATGATGTGTGAAACCATCTTAGGAACCTCATTTGTCAGGTTCCATGTTCGAATTTTAGGATTACACACATACCTGGCCTGATGATGGCCATCACTTTATGTTGCTTGTCATAAATCCCTATGGAACTATTGTTGGGCGCTATCTTGAGAGTTGGTTGGAATAGGAAATAATAATACTTTTTTTTGGGGGGGAAGTTGGCTGGGAGTGTTGCTAAAAAGCATAAAGATACACATGTTGGCTGATGCCATGTCAACATCATGTTCCCCTTGACCCATTGCTGACTGATATCTTGTCGCACAGGAAATGGATATAAAACATGCAGTTTTTGTCCCCAGTAAATTATGATACAGTATTACTCCATCAAAATGGGACATCATAACTTGTTCAAAACTTTTTGATAATTACAGTACCGGTTATTTAACATGGCCATGGAAAATTGCCCATTTATAGATGGTTTACCTATTAAAATTGTGATTTTCCATGGCTATGTTAGTCATAACCAGATGGTAACTTATGCATCACTTATTCGTGACCAATCACAAGATAACCATCCTATCCGCATCTCTCAGCATCCATTGGTCAACCCGGGACCCAGGACCGAGATCCCGAGCATAGCTTTTGACCTCACCGCTATATTCCCCAACGATCTGGTACTTTGGCAAATCCTTGCCATGGAGGTCCGGGATGGTGGATGTTGGGGCAATGGCTTGGTGTCTATGCTTGGGATATCGGCAAAATGGGGATAGCAATACAATTGATGGATCTTGACGGAATGTCACCAACAATATCGGGGACCATGCCAGTTCATTGGGTCTTTACTACACATGTTGCTATTCAGAATGAGGGCAACGGAACCTGCGATGTTCGGAGGATTTCCCTGCCATTCCGTCGGACTTCCGGAACCTCTGCGGCAAAAAGTCCCATGCCAGCACCAGGGATGGTGGAACGCCCCACTGCTACACCTGGACAGCCGTTCCCAAGTCCCAAGGAAGGGGGATATATAAATACAACATATAAATACATTAACATTCATATCTAATATTGTGAGATATATATATATATATATATAAATGTATATATGTAATGGGCATATCATTGTTTTTTCCCCCTATTTTGTTGTTTTGGCACCAAAAGCATCCATTTAAATAAATGCAAAATCGTCATATATTGATCCATTTCTAGAAGGCAAATCATCTTTCAAACCGCCTTGGGGCCTTCCAGGCTCGCTTTCAAGGCATCATCAAGATGCGGCACACCATGGCACACTCATTTCCACTACATATTAACCTCCCCCTTTGGAGAAGATCCATTTCTTTCCATTCCCCCAAGTTTTTTTTTGCAGGTGAAATCCTAAGTTTTGGGTCAACTCACAAGTTTTAACCCTCTGGTAAACGTTTACATAACTATGGAAAATCACAATTTTTCATGGGAAAACTCACTATTTCTATGGCCATATGCAATTTCGCAAACTGTTAGTCACTGTTAGTCATTACCAGAGGGTTTCATGGGATTTATTATGACTTATTGGGGTTTCATGGATGGAACTTTTTTTCACATGGAAAACCACCGGGATTTCCTCCATGGATCACTGGCCTCCAACGACTTCGGGCCGAGGCATGGCGATGCCGCTTGGTGATGGATATCACCAGAAGCCATGTGGACGTTTTCCTATGGATCATGGGGCTAGCATTTTAGGAAACCTCCGTATTATATCATATATATTCATATATTATATACACTGGGACGTGAAAGTCAGTGCATATGTGGAACCAAGGTAAAAACTGCATGGGACGCCGCGCATTCAGGAAGTCAAACAAGTCAATGCAACCAGGTCTAAAACTGCATGGGACGCACTATGTAGAAGTGTTATTTTTAGATCCCTGGCAGTGCACTTTTCTATCGCTAAATTTTCCAAATCCCCATCAGGACGCGTGTGCGCAGTTATGTCCCATAATCTTAAAAAAATATGCCAAATTTTCCAAATCCCCATCAGGACGCGTCTCCACACATGAATCTCAAATATGTCTGAATAACAATCTGAAGGAATGTTTCTGGTGGCTTTCCTGAAGGAATTTGATAAGGAATGGAAGACTTCGGGATTCGAATGTTGCTGGGTTTTGACTGGCTGCAATTTTAACGAGGTCCGAACGAGGTGCAAACGAGGTCCAAACGAGGTCCGAAATCAGATTTTGGGAGACTGACCCCCTAAGTCTCCTGACAAACTCTTTGGTAGCCACACGCTTTCGCATTCTTTTCAGAACAGTTAGACTCAAGAGCTTTCAGCGGTGGAGCAGAAGAGGAAACCAAGCCAAGCAGCAGCTGCAGGCAAGAGCAAGGAGAGAGAAGAGGAAAGGGAGACAGAGGGGAGACAGAGGGGAGACAAAGGGACGCAAGCTTGGCAAACAAGTATACAATTGCCACGACTTTCATCTTTGGGAGTATAGTGGGTAAACCCAAAAAGATATGACAGGTAAGCGTCGTGTGCCTATGCGAAGTGCCAAAAAATACATCAGTAAGTTAAAGTGATAGGCGCTGCACATGCGGGCCTTTCCCCATAGGCACTTGTTATAACATCGACCCGGTATTCGTCGGTGTTTGTATGAATCTTGCACAACAGAGCGAGCCGCAAGTGATGTACAAAACTCCCAAAACACAAGGGAATAGCTACAACCATCCGCATGGTATCCATGAAAAACTCACGATAAACCATCAATTGGAGAAAACACAAACATGCTAAACACCAACTGGACGCAACATCGCACCGACTTCCAGAAATTTCTCCCCCACCTAGGACGCACATTTCATTGAAACGCTTTGACTTCCACAACTAGGAGTAGATCATACTAGTATGAATTAGTGGATTAAAATGGATTAACATGATTTTAATGATGGTTTCAAAACAAACACATCCAAAGTAGACCATTTCAGTATTGAAACCTATGCTTTGGGGGATGCGCCATTTTAAGGAACCCGCACATGAACCCTGCAGAGTTGTAAATCAGCTAACTAGGAGGCACCACCTCAATATGTTAGCATGAATTTGGTGAAGAAGAGATCATGGTGACATGTCTAGAGTTGTCCATAAAATGTAAGTTCATAATTGGCTAAACCTGAGATAGGGTGATTTTGGGAGAAATCCCCTTCCCAAACATCATTTATGCTGAGAACCTTCCGTCCCAAAATGGTCAGGAATTCATCACTGATCCTTTCAAAACTGCCATGCGGTGTTCCCTATTTGGGGACAGACCATGCGCACTTTCCCTGCCAGGGTAGGCTATCACTCTGGGCCACATTTTGGATGAAGGCGGAACAAATGGAGTGGGTGAAAGAGGTCATGACTGTCAAAGGCAATAATAATAGGTTTCACAGCAATTAAGCCATAAAACTCCTGCGGCGTGGCTTTAGCGTGACGTTGGCTTTCCGATTCAAGCCACGACGATCAGACATCACTGAAGTGATTTTCACTCAGATCAACTGGTCCCGGTTTGCAATGGCCGTATCTGCAATGAGACATCCCTCTCCGACATGAACGAGACATTGTATGCAGCGTGGCGAGGCTGGTGCAAAAAGATTCGTTTAAACATCACTCAATTATTGGGGATAGGTGCTTCCAAGAATTGGAGTAGCACCAAGACATAGCAACAATGGTTGACTTCGGGTCCTGTCCTCATCTTACATTGGCGTACTAAACGTGGATCTGGGATGATCTGGGCAACTTGGGATGATCCCCTGCCCATCTCCGAGGTCCCGGGTCACTGGCGCTCGAGTGAGTCCTGTTTCCGAGAGACTGGACGAATCGTTGACGGCATGGGTCTACCGTCATTTTCAGCGTCCACCTTGGGGGTCTGATTTTGCCTCCATTCAATTCGTTGTTGTTGTTTCATGGGGATGTTAGCCAATTTTGACAGCTGATGGAGCCGCCCTTATTAGTGGTTGGTGGCTACACCTGGAACAAAGCCAAACATGGTTGTTGTTGGGGTCACCTTTGGCGCTGCTCCTTCGGCGTTCTTGGGATGAACATCATCTGTACCGAAAAAATGGCCATGGCCCAACAGGAAAAATAAGGAACAACTATTCTGAGGCAATCTTCCGGGGGTTGAAAAGAATTGATCAAGTGGCTTTGCCCCATTTTCCCAGAAACACGTCAGTCAGTCATACCCAGCACACCGGCGAGCCGGCGCACAACCCTTTTTTTCGGTCGCACTTACATCAACGTTGCCGTCCCAGATCGCCACGCTCCCCTACATCAAAGTTCCACTGCAAAGATTTGTTGTTTGTTGGAGGAGCATCGACTGAGGATTGCCGCGCCGTGAATGCTCGGCGCCTCAAGAACTTGCGATAGTAAGCCCCGCGTTTTGCAGTTTGACTCAATCCCCAAAACTGTTTATCATTGAACAAAAAATGCCACTAAGGTAGTTCACCAGCGTTTATGTGCCTAATTTGGGTGACCTATCTACAGCATTTCTGGAGCAATCACCAACAGCTTTAGTTTCAAAATGCGAAAACTGTTCACGCTTAAAAATCAATAAGCCCATAAAAGGGAATTTATCCTGGAGCATTGCGGCCGCCAATCTCCCGTTTTTTCAGGAATATAATGTACAGTACTAGCTTTCAATCTAGTGCCAAAGTCAGCAGCTGCTTCGATCTTTTTTTTACATGAGAACATGAATCTTCTGGTGGCTTCCCTACGTCAAAAAATTGAATCACCCTCTGATATCTCTTATAGAAAAACATTTTCATCACTGATCATAGAAAAACATGTCTGATATTCCTGAATTTTACATTTGTTTATCTATTTAAGGGGGTATCGTCACATCTGCATTCGTCGGCAATGGACCTCTGGTATCCTCCGGTCCCATCGCAGCAGCTACCGCGTCCGACGCGGCGCGACGCGGCGCGGCTGGACCTGCGGAGTGCGGGAGAGGGATTCGAGGTCTCGAAATGTGAATTTTGTTTCAAGGGGGAAACAAAAAATCTACGAAAATCGTTTAAAATAACACATATCTATAGAAGATTCCCTAATCAGTGGATCCGCCGGAAAATAAGAAATCATGTTCAGCAATTTCAGCAAATCACTGGAACCGATTTGAAGTCTCAGTTGAACATTCTGATTGAGTGGAAGGTCGATGCATGATGAAAGAATGAATGCTGGTGTTTTTTTGAAGAAACCAGTGGGAAATTGACAGCACATGATACCATCTATGACGCACATGTTCAAAGAACACAATCTCAACAAACAATCTAGGCTAGCAAATTTGCAAGTTTGCAAACTTGAATTGGTGTCGTTCAGTGCCACCACCATTGCTGCAGGCCAAAGTACTGTGTTTCTACATGTTATGGAATTAATTTGCATGTTCAAACACTTTCAGATATAAATCTGCCGACGTGGGATCTTCAAATGGTTTGGAAGGAACATTGACAGGACAAATAAACATCCTATGGGCAACAAAACAAAAACCATAATTTGAAGTTCTTGCCCTGTGAGAAACCAACCCAAGAGATTTAAATTTGGATGTCCCAGTGCCTCTCCAGCGCCATAGAAACGCCTCTCAGTAGGGCGAGTAACCCTTTCCTGACTTGCCATCCTGCCGAAGAATGCGAAGCCAAGCGACAGACCCAGGAGGGAAACAGTATAATTGTATAATTAATAACATGATATAATTTATTACTTATTGATTAAAACAGGATACCATTTATCCACTACAACAAAACACTAAAACTTCAACTACAACAACAACTGCAACTACAGTACATCTACAACTTCAAATACTCTACAACTACAACTACAACTGCACTACAACTACAGCTTCAACTTCAGCTTCAACTACAACTAGACTACAACTAACACTACAACTACAACTACAGTTTCAACTGCACTACAACTACAACTACAACTACCACTACCACTGCGCTACACTGCAACTACAGCTACAACTACAGCTACACTACAACTACAACTACATTACAACTAACTACAACATATTACAACTACAAGTACAATTACACCTACCACTACAGCTACAACTACAACTACAACTACAATACAACTACAACTACAACTACGACTACAAGCACAGCTACAACTACAACTACAACTACCGCTACACTACAACTACAACTTCTATACTACAACTACAATTACAACTAAACTACAACTACAACTGCAACTAAACTACTACTACAACTACACTACACCGCACCACACCACGCCACACTACATTCAGCAATTGTGAGTGAGTCGACTACTGCAACCACTCCAAAAAGCACAACTCCAACCACCTTTTGGTCGATCAGGGGATTCGCTCTGCCTTCCATGCATCACAACAACTTACCTCTCCTAGAGTTGTCTATCTTTGAAACTTCCGCCGCTGCCTTGTTCGGTACTACTGGTACAAATTAAAACATCAAACGTTGTTGATTTTTGGTGCTTGAGGTGGTTGGCATGGGCACTCTTAGACCTTAAAATGGCTGAATTTCCCCATTCCATCGCCAGTTGATGAAATCCAGGTTTTTGCTATAGCAACCCCCAAAAGATAGCGAAGTAAAACACAACTATATCAGTATGAGTTACTCTATTTTTTTGGGTCACTATACTTAGATCATGTTAGATCATGTTAGATCCGCATTTCCGAAGCAGTAGGACGTTCCCTGAAGCACGTCCCGTCCAGCGAGCCGTTCCGTTCCCGGCTCGCCTTGCCATAGGCTCCATAGGCGCCTAAGGAGGTTGCGTTGAAGCCCTCCAAAATTGGCAAAATCATCTGATAATCATTCTAAATCATGTGGGCCCACCCTGGCTGCCATAAACAGCTATGTAATATTGACGGTTTCAATTCCCATCCATCTATGGAAAGTCGTTGGGGATGGTTTATGGCAGCCAGGATCTACCACTATCTGCCCAGTTATCGCCCAAAACGCGCGAACCCCCCACCTAGGCATCCTTTGCCTGTCCAGCCTGAGGGCAACAGCTGAAGAGTTGCGAAAGGGGGTGCAGTTCACCTCCATGACTTGGAATATGGGCCCCCTTTTTGTCGATGGTCCTATATATAATATCCATGTGCTGGACATAGCCTTCATCCACATTGCCAGGGACCATTAGAAGCGTCATCTCTTTGACAGGGGCTTCCTACAAACCTTTATTTCCCACTGTCAGCGGGTGGAGGCTATTTCAATATGTAATGTGTATATATATATATATATACGATATATATATATATATATATCGTATATATATATATCGTATATATATATCGTATATATATATATTCACGTATATAAATATATACACGTGTATATATATATATATGTAGATATATATATATATATGTATATATGTATATATGTGTGTGTTTATATATATATATATACGGGAATGATATAACACCCCATGTATCTCAAACATGCAGTCACTACGGGAATATCTAAAACAGCTCATCTACATTCAACAATATGAATAATTATTTATATGATAAACTATAGTACAGGAAAATGTAATATTCAACACATTTAAAAGGTAAATTACAAGAGTCGCACCGAATAAAACCCGATCATACATGCACATGTATATATATATATATATTTGTTTATGTGCATTTAATCATACACATATTTATCTATTTATACATATATATATATATACATTACATGCATACACGTATGTTGTTTGGTCAACAGGGAACCCAACTTTTGGAGGCTTTGGGGGCATGGCTCAAATCTTCTCCCCTAAAAAGTTGGAAATGTTTCGTTGTAGCTATGGGTTTGCCAAATGAGTATCCTCATCTCATAAACCAAAGGCCTATCAATCATTTAGGCCAAGCACAGTGATTCCCAAAGCTCTACGGAACAACTTTTGCGTGATTCCTTGGTGTTTCACCCCAGGAATCCTGAATGGATTAGTTCACCGCAGTTACCTGCCTACACAAACCGTACTTACCCTACTTCGAACTGGGGTGAAAAAAAACCACTTGCAAACTGCTGCCTGAACCATTTGGGATACCCTCTGCTAAAGAAACATTGCGAAAATGGCCTGTTGAGTCAGATGATGTACAAATTAAACACAATGTTTTTAGGTAGCTGCAAGGTAAAGCCCTCTAGATAGCAAAGTTGACATATAATTAGCTTCGCTAGTTTTGTTTTGCGATATAACTATAGTTAATGGTTAAATAATGGGGGTAGTGAACCAACTTCTACCTGGGGGCATCACCTGTAGCAGTTAACAATGGCCAATCATGCTTCACAGTGGTTGGTAGCAATCCCATCCCCCATTCAGATTAAACCAAAAAAAAACACCCATTCAATGGTCCATGTAGCTTAGTTTAGTGGAAAGTAGTTCCCCTTCCTCAGCAACACTGAGAACCCTCGCCACCGCCGCCACCAATGCTGCCACCAACGCTGCCGTATGCGGCTGCGCCTTCGCCAACATGGATCAGTGTCGTTGGGTCCGGATTTTTTTTTGAAGGGTGGGGATATGGCCCTTCACAAAATATCACAAAATTGGGTCATAGCTGACTTATAAATCTTGTAAGTATAACTGAGAATGGAGGAATTAACTATCGTCAAACCATGACTAAACATGGTTTGGAAACAAATCAAACACCATGGGGTTTACATATCAATGGGGTAACTTATTGACTTACAACTGGCATTTTGGGCCATAAGTGTGGGGATATTGATATCTTGGTGGGGGTATGATTTGCTGACGCTATCTCGTGAATAAGCTTGGGAAATAATGATTCTGATTAATGATGGCACAATCCCCAAACAAATGATGATCACACAAAAAACGGGAATATAAAAGTAACCAACCAAATGAACAAACCTGACTAGGATCTGGCGCAATCTGATGCCACCAAGCCCATGTGAACAGATTTAAGGTTCAATCAGTGTGTCTTGGAGGGTGGCAATGTAGGGGAAGAGCAACTAATCCGCCACCAACCAAGGGGTCGATTGAGTCATCGAATATTTTCCGGACTTCTTGCGATCCAAACCTTTTTATATAGTGACTGGAGTTTGCCAGAAATTGCTCCTGGTTGGCGGTACTGTATATAATTGAGTGACTCGACTCCTCCAGATTTTTGTGGACCGGATGCAGCAACACGGCTTTCGCCGTTTCTTTTGGCATTTTTTTTGTTCAGTATTATTTGTGCAAACTCATTGCAACAACTGTGTTTCTATGATCATACACAATCCTTAGGAGGAAAAATCATACATGCCCATCATGCCCCCATTTGTGGCAAAACAATGAAATACTGTATTTGATAAATCTTGGGATGAGTCAAGAACATTCGAGCATTCGAGCACTATATTTGTCATTAAACATATTGGAGAAATATGAATATCCAGAACTACCAGGCATTGGGCCTGGCATGTTCAAATCATTGACAGCTAGTTGTTCTAAATTAAGAGCTAGTTGCCACTGAATTAACTACCGTTCACTATGCTTCCTCGCCTCCGCCATAGCTGCCACCACCTCAGTTCAACGTGGATGAAAATGGACGAAGAAAACATCAAATGGGACAATGAAAAAGGGACCACATCGTTGGCCATTGGCCAATTGATTTCAAACATATATACATATATATATATTAAATATATTTATATAGCATGTATTATGACATAAATAAATATATATATATATGTACTATATACACGGATGTAACCATGCAGCTTGAAGCCCTGGCATCCAATGGGCTTGTCACCTCTGGAACTGATTGGAAGTGATCATTGCTGAGCCATACATTGCCACTTCGATCGGAAGGCCATCAGAAATCAACAGAAATAACATAGTCTAGCTGTCAATCGATGAACTTAATAGACTAATAGATTTGCTTATGGGAAACCATGGTACCTACTTACCCCGAAAATAAAGGTTCCTGTAAGCGTTTCAGTGCTGGGAAGGAACTCATCTGAAAAATACGCAGGAATGTGCAGATTCATGCGTGCCAAAGTGTCAGTGAGTTTCGACCCATATGCGATATGTTGAAATCACAATGTGGGACACTCGTGGGGGGAAGGCTTCTAGGCAATTTCCGACATTCTATCAACCGAACACCAAGCATCACTGAATTGTTCGCGAGAAACATCAACAGGAAATTATGGCGTTTACCATGGGACTTCATTTTGTTCTAGTAAAATTTCCTGGAAAGGGTTCTAGCAATCATTTCCCCTCATTGCACACCCTCAGTAAGGAATCCAATATTTCAGGCCACATCCACTATTGAAACCGTGTTGAACTTCCCATGTTGAATTTGCCCTACATTAAATCACCATAGATGTGGAAAACCCATCATTTGTAGAGATATTTGTAGATTACTGTCCTGATAATGCCATAGGTTTTCCACATTTCTTGGTACCAATGGGCCATTCCAGGATCCAAAAATGAAGGTGAATCCCCTCACATAGCCCCTGCATAGACCTTGTACAGTATATACATATATATGGTAACTACATTTAAAATCATTTAAACACACGGACTTTTAAATATACGAGCTGGTATTTTAGACTACCTCCTGGAAGGTTTTCCTTGGCCCGCCCAGCCATTTAAACATACGGAATCCAATTCATTTAAACGTACGGTATCTACATTTAAATATACGAACTGGTATTTCGTACTACCTCCGGGGCCTCGCGGTCTGGCCGGCCCTCCACACATTTAAATGTCGTTACTGTATATATTTATACATATATCGTGGGTACCTTATATTCAGGTTCCTGAATTGGCAATTTCATTCTTTGTTTGCTGAAGTGTGGGGGTGTAACCACCTTTGCCACTGAGGTGGTTCCCAAACTATTGCCCCTTCGTCCGCCCGTCTCCAAGTGTCTCACCGTATCCAGCGCCACCTGCGGCGAGTTCTTGGAAAAACATAGGTAGTATACCCAAGATTTTCTGGTCAAATTCATGGCTGTCAGCGAAAATGATACCAACCAAGAAGGGCCAAAGACTTCCTTTACCCACGGCCTAGTGCTAGATTCTCGCTATGATCAGGCACAAAAACTGAGCCCTTTGACTCTCAGGGCAAGATTCGCTAAGTCAGTTTTTGCTGCTTCAAACGAGGGGTACCCGACGCATTGGATCGATATGCCAAAGAAAAGCCTCTGAGACCTTGAATTTGACCCGTGCTGAAACCCATGCCCAGAGCCCAGACAAATGCGTCCAAGAAACCACCGGAACAGCCGCCTGCTGCGCTTCCGTTTTCGCGAATGAATAAGGGTGTCCAATTCAGCCTTAAATCAAAGACCATGAATGATGGGTAATTAGGTATTTATTGCCATATTCAATTGGGAGCCTACTACAATGATAGGCTCAAAATGCGAGTCAACTCTGAGTTGGAGTGAAATCTGGTGGTAATCCTGTGACATCATTCAGAAGTGGTGAATCAATTGGCACCTGGATGGCCATCCCATTTAGTTTAATTGGTTTCACACCGTCAGTTTTGAATAATCCCTTCTTCCTACTACTAAAACTCCCCAAATAAAAAAAATAGGATTGGTGTGGCACTTCCGTTTTTTTTGGTTGGGCGCAATTAGATGCTTTATTGTGGCAATTGAGAATCAAAAGAAGAACAGGATGGTGAAACGATGGGTTCAACCCCCTATTAATAAACATAGATTGCCACCTGGAGGTTTTTTTTTTGGGTCCCATCTCACAAGTTTTGCTTTATTTTCTATTCTTACTATTAAGGATTTCATTGGAATATGAGGGGAAAGCTTTGAAATCCAGTTTTTGGCAAATTTTATATAGATTTTAATAAGGTGTTTAATCAAATTTGAAATAGTATTTATATGACTGTTTTCATTGGAATATTATTCGGGGAAAACTTCGAAATCTAGTTTTTGGCAACATTTTATAAAACATTTAAAAAGGAATTTAATCAAATTTGAAATCAGATTTTTGTTATTTTTAATTAATTATTAGGGTTTTTATTGGAATATTATTAGGGACACCCTAATACAAAATACCCCCTATAATAATAAAAATAGATCACCTTGTTTACCATTTGGGGAGAGGGGGGGCCGTTTTAGTAATAGGGAGAGAGGATTATATACATATCCTAGTTGGGATTCTACCATTGATAGCAACCCCCCCAAAATGTAGCAAAGTAAAAATCCCACGAGAATATCTGATAAAACACTGTGCTATCTCCTTTCGGGCGTATATAAGTGGCTAGCTCCGCTTACATCCGCAAGCACACGCACCTTTCAGGTGGTCCCAACCATTGCCTCCACAGCTAGAGGGTGGTGCAATGGCAGCATAGCCTCCATAACCTCAGTGTCAACGTGGCTCGGAAATCCCCGAACGAACTATCGACAGACATGAAGGTTTTGATGAGAAAATCATCTATAAATATCTATAAATGCTGGGAACCAAATTTTCAAACATAGACAAACCATGACAAAGCCATATCCCAACAGCTGTTCAAAGAATCTCTGTAAACCTGAATCCTGGAACCCTAAAACACTGATTTGCGGTTGCAAACGTTGGTTATGATGGGGGATTGACATGACTTATCGGCATATCATGGCATATCTGTAGATAAGGGGGTTTATACACCAACCTATAGCTGGGGGGTCACACAACTGGCGCGTCCTCAAACATCTTTGAACTCTAGAGCGAAACCTGCTGAAAACATCTCGAAAAAATCACAAAGAAACAAGACGTCTGACCAAAAACGAAATCCTAATCACCCGAATCCAAGTGCTCAAACTCACCAAAACCATCATAATCTCCAGTCTACAGCGAGAAATTGCTCCATTCTGTCTAGAAGGGGTCACTGACACCCTTGAAGAGCACGAACGAAGATGACCACTGAAACCCGATATGACGCGGGGCCGGCCCCACATAGAATTCTACACCACTGTGATCCAAAGAACAAAACATTTCCTAGGCATTCCTAGGCAATGTCAACCTCGGATTAATAAACCACGACTGCTTAATCGGCGGGTTACCCCCAATGCCTATGAAGATTGGTACCCCGCTATTACAGTACTACACAAGTCGTTTCTGAATCCTGGCTGAAAAATGAAACTGGCCCACAGCATCTCGGGTCATATCTGACCAGTGGCTGGTCGCACCATAGCTGCTATCTGGTTTTGGAGTCCCGCATTTGAAGCCTTGCGGGCAGCTGGAGAAAAAAGAACATCAGCCGTTTATCCACAATGAAATACTTGCATACACATGCGTAAATCATGACGAAAACTAAATAAAAAAAGTGACATGTAATATAACATAGACCTGAAAGGAACCATGCAAAAGAAATGTGATTTGATGAGGCATGATGATACCGGAAATATATATATATACTGCATATAGAAATGTATAAGCAGTACAGGTACAGCAAAGTACATATTGCAGGCTATTACTTCATCATAATCACAACCCTGGTCATGGTCGTAGGTTGCATCTCCTGGCTGGAGCGCGAAACAGAAACCCGAGGTTTGCAGGCCAAGGTTTGCCCTGAATTCGGACAAGCTGCCTTTGGGCCAGGCTGCATTGGGCAAAAATGTTGCCTGTGATTTGTGCTCTGTTTCCTTTCCAAGTCGTCGAATATTTTGGTGGCTTGCTAGCAACAGGCCCAAACACCGCCAAGGGGCATTCAGATTTTGATCCGAAGACGAGGGCACCGCAATCTGGGAAGGTGGCCATTGAAAACACCCGCGGAGGAGGGTGTGTGTGTGTGTCCACTTGGTGCAAGGGAGCCTACCAACTCCTATATCTCTGCTCAATTTTGGTTCAGGCTTAGGTTGCATATTGGCAACTCTCTACTGTAGCATGTTAGTTTTCAAAAAGTATTCTGGCTACAATTGCTGCCGTCTTGGCGTAGGTTCCGTCTTGGTGTGCAAACGGTCCGTAATGCCGCCCCTTTCCGCCACTGTCGCCCCAGAAGGCGCACTAGGACATTTCCAATCTCCAGGTTTCCTCAGCTCACGACCCAACAAAGGCAAAATCGGGTTTGACATGGTTTGACTGTCGTGGAACAGTTACCCTCTGGTAATTTAACATAGCTATTGAAAATGGATGAAAATGGCCCATATATAGTTGATTATGTTTATTTACCTATTAAAGATCCTGATTTTCCATAGCTATGTTAGTTTAGCAAAGGGTAAACAAGCATCAAGTGTTTCGTAGACCTCACCTATCATGGAGTTGGGAAACTCTTGGTAGCTCCAACTGGCTCTCCATTGAGGGGCAACGAATAGCCATAGCTCCGAACGGCTCCCTCCCAACCACTACACCCAACATCCCATCGATGCAAAATTCCCACCAAACAAGAACCAAACCCTCCAGCAGAAACTTTTGGAATGATACTCCTAATCCGAACCATCATCTCTGGTGGGGCCATAGTGAGGTCACTATAGTTTTCCCAAAATTTCCAATGCCCTTCGTCTTGCACTAGTCTACAGTCTCTCTCTCTCTCTCTCCATCGCCATCAGTCTACAGTCTACAAGTGTAATTATACATCTCTGTCTCCCTTGCGCCATTAACAAAATGGGATGCAATGATATGGTGATCCCTATATCACCAGGAAGTGCATACCTTCCAGTAATCAAACGGGGAAACTGGAAATTCCCGAACAAAATGGAGGTTTCTAGCTAGGAAAATCATCGAGAATTGGGTGATTTTCTAGCAAACCACGTTTGATTACCAAAGGGTATATTCCCATTAATATTCCATCAATATTCTTTTATATCCCATTGTAGTCCCTATTCCACTATAATATTCATTACAGTATATCCCCATATGGTTGGTTATATCCCCAATATATTCCCATGATATTCTTACTTCCAATTATAGAAACTCCAGCCCAAAAACTCAACCAGTCCCAGCTTCCCAGCTCCTTTCATGCCGCCACTAGCGCCGGCACCGCCTTTGCCCATACCGCCCATACCGCCCATAGCGCCCATACCTGGAGGATCGGACCGGATCGAACCAAACACGGCCTGGGAATTCCATGGGCAAAATGGAGGACTTCATGGGCAAAGTCAACGTATCGATTTATCCATGGTTTTTTTTTGAGCCAACGATGTTTGACCAGAAGGCAACCTAAAAACATCTAAAACCTTCCCATGTTCCAAGGCTGACTCCGGGGAGACAAAATTCGAGGTCCATCGAGAACGGAAGGCGAACTCCGAGGCCGAGCCACTAACATCATCTGCTTCAAACCACCCGTTTCTTGGATGAAAATCATCATGTTCTGTCGCCTTTTCATTCCAAATGTTTGGACACCCAATGTTTGAAGCAAATTTTGAATAATTCACCAATCTGAAATGTTTATAATTTTTGGATGGTTCTCTTTTCATTCACCATCATGTGCGACGTGACGTTACAATGAGGCTGGTCGAACCTATCCAAATGCTACCCCCAATATCCCCAGTGGTGATGCATGATGAAAAAGAACCATCCATGAAACCCCAATAAATCCCATTACCCTCTGGTAATTTGCTATTAAAAATGACCATAGAAATAGTGGATTTACCCATTGAAATGGTGATTTTACATAGTTGTGTTAGTTTACCAGAGGGTAAAATATGATTAAATTCCATCATAAAGTGTCATATCTAATATGTAAACATAGTAAACTAACATAGCTATCGAACATGAACCGTTTATAATTGATTTAAGTACAAAAAATAGATTAGCTAACATGATTTTCCAGTTCGCTAAGTTTGTTAATGACCATTATAGTTGATTTACCCGTTAAACAATTGTGATTTTCCAGTTCGCTATGTTGGTTACCCAGAGGGTATCCCATCCATAATTCAGCCTTTTTCCCATCCGTGGTGTCGAATCTGGTGGCCTCCACCAGCTCCTTTGGTTCCTTCAACCGTGGCGTTCTTGCCTTAGAAGAAAGAGATGCGCCATGGATTTTCAGAAAAACTAGCTAGTAAAGATGATCATTGATTTAATTGGGTTTATAGTGTTTTTATGACCCATTTTCTAACCAGTTCGCCAATCCCATGGACCATCTAAGTTATGATCAACCAGTCGGAAACCAGAAACTGATTCACCATCTGGAGGTACCTGGGAGGTATGCAGTATCCCTCCGTTCGTAGGTGATGTCTTGTTCTATCTTATTTGCCAAATGTTCTTGGATGTTTGCAGGTTGACTCCACAAGTATTGCTAATTCCCAGGGAACATCCAAATGTACTTGTCCAGGAAAGAACATGCCTTTAGCCATGGGTTTGCCAACGAAAAAAAACATGTTACTGGATTTGGGGTTCCCAAGTTCGGACGGGAAATTCCAAGGAATTAATTATTGGTCAGAAAATAATATAGCCCTGTTGGTGAGTCGAAAAAGTCATCAACGATGCATTTACAAACAATGTACACTTATACGTATAAATTCACACACGCACATATCATTATTATTAATTATTATTATATTTATTGCAATTGTTATTATTATGGTTATTGTTAATATTATTAAATATTATTATTATATATTATTATCATTATTATTACTATATATTATTATACCACTGTATTACATATATATATATACATACATCAGTTGTATTTCCCATCAGAATTGTGAATAACTAAATGACACTTACACTTCCTCCCCAGCATTTTGGCCAACAGCTGGGTGATCTCTGCAGTCAGCCGCAGTCAGGCTGGATGATATCTGATATCATCACAAAAACGTCCAGTTCGAGAGGACGTTTTCGCCAAGTTGCCATTACTGAAATGTCCGTGCGAACTTTATAAAGGATCCACAACATTAGTCAACATACGAGTACGAACTCAAACAACGCTTCACTTACCCACACACACACAAAAAAAAACAGGTGCAACAACTAGGAAAAAATAGGGACAAGATCTCTTGGTCACTGACCTCCCCATTTAATTTCGTCCAGACGATCTGAGACACTGACAGTCAATCCACTTTCCCATGATTTGGTGCTCCTGGCACCGCCACTGGTCGCAGTTCATTTCACGATATCTATATAAAGTACTTCCTCAAAGAAATGGAAAAATCATTCAGAATTCATAAACTAATTATGGCATCACTGCACCTCATGTGAGTTGTGTTGTTTCTGAGGCTATATGATACGAATGCCTCCACAATCTAAAAAATATTAATCATTTGAGAGAAAAAAACACGTGACTCCGTGACTCATATAGAGTCACGAAACCATTCTAAAGCACGTCACAATCCTATATAATGGGTCGACATGACAGGGTCAACATATGTTGACATATCTATGTCAACATATGTTGACATATCTATGTCCACTTTTTACTATATATATGCTATACTATGTGTATATATATATATCAAACATATATGTACTATAGTCTATATAAATATACTATATACTATACTAAATTAATCAATGATATATACATCTTATATGTAGTACCAGAGGATCTTCGCTCCTTGTGCATGGCCATGATCTGCTCCACCGGCTCCACTGTGTCGAAGGATACGAAGCCGAAGCCCCGGGAGCGTCCGGTGCCCCGGTCGCTCATGACCTGAGCGACGCAGGGGAATTTCCTAGAGAAAAACGTGGAAAAAACGTGGAACAATGGGAATTTCCATGGAAAAACATGTGGAAAGAGGGTTGAACTTGAGAAATATTGGGTATATATGGTATATAAACATATATAAACAAGGATTTCAGCAGCAAACAAAACCACGGAGTTTTCATCATTCAAAGTTGGGATTTAAGCTGATTTATCCATGGATTAACCATCGGCAAATATGATGATTAATGATTTCAGAACCATTTTCAGCAAACGTGAAGGAACCATTTACGGTAGAGGTTGTTAAATTTGGAAACCCATTTCGATCCCCTGGCTCACTAAATCCTATGTTCTGTCATTTTCGGACATAGTTTTATGGCCGTAGTTGGGGGCAAACCCCCCATTTGGTGACAAACCCCAGAAATGATTGGTGGCTGAGCCACCGCTGAAAAGTATGACAAAGCCAGTTAGGGAGAAAACACACCCAGCCTTAGGGATGGAAAATACAAAGAAAACTAGTCAAAGCCTAGAGCTAGTTGCTCTTCTAAAAGCGGAAGCCAATCCAGTTTTCAGGCGGGGTGCCAATTCTGGTTTTGGACAACGCTATGTTCAACATACCTATATATTATAGGGAAAGAAAGCCAACCCCAAATGAATAGACCCTGGTTGATGTAAAACAGGGGGTTCCCCTCCAGAAAGTGAGTCAAATGGATCCTTGAATCGGGGGTCAACGTTCATTCAGCATTGACATTGCCAATTGCAACTCAGTCATCAAGTGATTCATACTACTCTATATATATGCACATACATTTAAAACAGGGGAGATGGGGGGCCATCCCACTACCATGGTTTTTGTAGGCCCAAATATGTCTGAGTCATGAACGATGATATGCAACAGTTGATGTGGCAAACCGAATGTTAAAAAAAACCACTCTTGATGGTTAATACTCGCCTATTTAGACTAAAATTCGGAACACCAAATGGATTGGTTTACAGGAAACTCATCATTTTTCCCAGTTGATGGGGTGGTCCTCTTAAATGTCCAATCATCCAAGTCTGAGAGAACAAAGAAAAACCAGTGGCAAACTAACAGGGAACTAACATAGCTATGGAAACTGGTCATTTATAATTGATCTATAACAAATGGTGATGTTCCATATAGATGTTTACCAGAGGGTCAAGTCCCTAGGTGTTTTTGGATCTCGGATCTCGCCATTTCCACCCAGCAACGACCACATCTGTCAACATGCCGAAGGTTGAGAAGTAGTCGCTGAGCACCTCCGCGGCATGATGCTGTGCGAAATGTGAAGCAGCTAACTGACAAGCAGAAGATCACGGGGAATCATGTATAGCATACCTTTTTATATATATGAAAAGGTTGAGACAAATTAAAAAAAAACATCCCTAACATAACCATACATGGGTGGTTTAAAACATCGCAAATCGTAGGTTCATATTTGGGTTTACCACGACAATATAGACATTATATAATATACAATCTGGTAAATTCACATAGACCGCCAAATAGGGGTTGGAAGATGTGTTTCAACTAAAAACATGATTATTTTTATTTTCAATGCTAAATTTTTTCAGTGTCAAACTTTTAATTTAGCATCATTATTCCAGTTATCCATTCTTCATCTATCTTCAGTTGCCATTCTTGTCTATATACCCACTATTAATCATCATTATATTTTATAGTTCCCTCTGGTTCTTTTTCACAGCTATGGAAAACAGCCCATTTCTAGACGATTTATGCTGATTTACCTATTCTTCATTGTGATTTTCCAGTTCGCTGCGTTAAAGTCCGCCCACCTCGGTAGTACATTCCTGCGGCAAGCCGCCCACGAAGACCTGCCGACCGTGCGACAGTATAGGTTCAACCAAGAATCCAGGTTTACCCTCTGGCAAATTAAGAGTTTGACCCTGAAAATAATTCATTTTTGTATAGTGAACATTTATTTTTCATTTTTTTATCTGGCAGGGTCTATGTGAGTTTACCAGAGGGTAAGAGAAAGAAACACATGGAATATCAGCAAAATCGAGCTTTATCAGGGCGTGGCCAACCACGGTATGGACGTTAAAACAAGTGAACACATGTGAAAACCACAAAAACCTGGTGTGTCAGCTAGGATTTGTCGATATTCGTTGCATGCGCTACTGATGTGATTCCCAGAACCGCGGGATTCCCATAGGGAACTTCAACCTGAATGCACCAACCCATGCCCATGATCCCTGTACACCCGAGTTTGGGGCACACAGAAACCAAAAAATCTTATGATTGTAATACATACAAGTTCAAAGAATCCACGTGTTATTTGGCATGTGTCTACACATACATACATATACACATGCATATATACATACGTATACACATGCATATACACATGCATATACACATACATAAACACATACATGAAGACATAGATACACACATAGATATAAACATAGATACACACATACATATACACATACATATACACATGCATATACACATGCATATACACATACATGTACACATACATATACACATACATATACACATGCACATATATATATATATTATCCTCTTATGTTTGACATAATATATATATATATATATTATTTTAATAAATAAAACAAACATAAAAATACTTGAAAACTATATGTACAATCAACCACTGTCACTGATCTTTAAGCGTCATTTTTATATGTGTAGATATCGTCTTCCCACATGTGCTGGAAAAGATCCTGATGGCACCTTATAAGGACCACCTTTTCCAGCCATGGTCCAGGACGGAGGGCCGTTGTGAAATCCTCGATGCTTCATAACTTCATACATATATGCATTTCCCGAAAAAAATGCTAAACATATTCAAGAATGAATTTAAACAATCTAAATAGAAAACTTCGATAACAAGATATACAGAATATATCCAGATGATAATCAAGCAACAAAGTGAGCATTATATAAACCCGGTTAAACTCATTTAACTCAGTTTCAACCCTGTCCAGCTCTTTGGAATATGCGCATTGGCGAACTGTGCATGTTGGCTACGACCGATACTTGGGGCGCGGCGAGTTTCACAAGCTCGAAATTCGTGAGTGGGGTGAAGACAAGGTACAATTCGCCGCTGAAACATGGCCAGCCGACGCCAGCCGCAGATTTCCAGAATTGGAGGAGAACAAGGAAATCATCTTTTAAACCCAATTGTTGATAAGTTTGGGGGTTGCATGCTATCTTTTGGGGACATCATTGAAACATACTGAAACAATGCACCATTCAAGCCTTCAATATTCAACCATTCAACTTCAGGAGTTTTCCAGCCAGAAGCAGTCAAGCAAAGGAAAATCCAACCGTGAATAGCACCTGCCTCCCCAACCTTCTATCATTCAGCCATACCAGTTTCAGCCATTCCAGTCTCGAGCCAAGTGAGACTTCAATGACCCCCCTATGACCTCATATCATCGCGAACTTTACCATCCGGTCATCAAACATGGTTTGCTGGAAAATCACCCATTGATCATTGATAATTGATTATCCCATTAACATCCCATTAAGACTAAGATGTTTCGTTGCAATGTGTGATGGCCACAAGGTCAATAATGACGTTTCCTGAAGAAAAACGCTCCTTCATCCAATTGAGGAACCTCAGGACAGACTTGTGCCAGGTGAAAATCGTGCAGAAGCATTGGCAACCCTTGAACAGCTACGCAAGTAGAGTGGATCATCGCTGGTTTGTTTTGTTTTGCAACTGGTATAGGTATATATATATATACAGGCTGGAGTAGAGAAGAAGTATCAAAGATACATGCGTTCATCATATTTTGAAGGTTTGAAGGATGACTTTCATGACCTCCCCAAAGCGCTTCCGTGCCTATGACCTGGAAATGGGATACGAAAACTGCTATCCTGGCGAACATAAAAACGGTTTTGCAAATGGATGTTCATCCGCTGGGCCCCAACCAACAAAAAAAACATGGGATATCTATTTAATTATCTATTTCAAAGGATATCTAATTAGTGGATATCATAGATCCAGCCGCCAGGCACGCCCCAATTTCCCCGAGCGCAAATCACGCCCCTCGAGTTTTCGCAAAGGGAGTTAGGGTGGCCGTCCATTAAACGCTGCAAGTTGGGAGCTGGTGTTTACCATGGTCATAACCCAATGCCGCCCAAACAAATATGGGACTTGCGATCAGCAGTTCTTTTCCACTTTTCAGCGGCACTGCAGTAGCTTCATCGGCTTCAACACCTTCAAGTAAAAGGCTGACCTTCAGGGGAAGCAACAGCATGCCTCCTTAAGCAAACAAGTCAACAATTTGAACGCATCATTGTTACCACAAGTACATAAAGTAAACCCCAAACCAAAAGGGGAGAGATAGGAACTGTTGACATACAGTAGAAATAGGAATCTTGTGTAACATTGCAAAACCAAATGTATATAATTCAAACAAAATCCCGAGCCAAATATCCGGCAATAAAATGCATCCCAGAAACAAATTGCAGTGAGGTTGCTCTAAACTCTAATTATCATCCATATGTATATATATATATGGCTAATCCGAATCACACATAAATCACAGATGAAATAGCTTAGTAATAAATTGCTCCATTATCTGCCTACCACGGCCATCCTGTCTCGATTTGCGGTTAAACCATCAAGAGTGTCGACGCGTCGACCGGCGCTGCGCTGCAGGCGCCAACTAACTGAGGATCTGATGACAGTCTTAAAAACTGAGGGGGATTCATCTGCAAGCATGGGAGTATGCAGCAACCAAATCCAACCAACATAAATGGATATATTAATGTTATAACGTGTTAGAACATTGTGATTCTTTGCCTAAAACACCCTTCGTACATACATCTATTCCATCAAAAGCCGCTCAGAATCGCAGCCCAATAACCAAACAAAGGCCAACCCAGGGCCAACCCAGAGAAAGTGGTTGAGAACCATGATGGTACTTATGTACCCCCTGGTTATTGAATACAGCTGCGAATAATTGCCCATTGGTATTGGGTGATTGACATATTTCCCTATTAATGGTGATTGTCCATAGCTATGTCAAATATGTTAAATCAAGAGGACAGTGTATATATGTATGTATGTATGTATGTATGCATGCATGTATGTAAGTAATGTAATGTAATGTAATGTAGCGTAGTGTAATGTAATGTAATGTAATGAAATGTAATGTAATGAAATGTAATGTACGTATGTATATATTTCAATTCGCTATAAAACATTATATATATATATTGAATAATATTAACAATAATTACACAAAACATAAATAATATATTCAGATACAAAACACTATAGTCTGAGATAACATAATGTAATAAAATATGTTACAATATAATATAATACAACTTAGAACAATAATACGTAATTTTATAAAGTAAAACGCAATATAAAATACAATAAAATACGTTTTTCTTTACAATAGAATACACAAAATATAATAAAGCGCAAAAAAACATAATATACTATAATATAATGTAATATTCTATTCTATTCTATTCTATTGTATATACAATATACAAATACGGTGCTGCGGGATCCACAGAATATAAAAAAACATTACACATGCGTATGCCTACTTGGGATGATTGAACACATCGTCTAAGTGGTTGATGATTTGCGATGGTTCATTAACAAAGATCCCAAATCAAAGTCTTGGGGTTTTATAACCTCCCCCCAAACAAAAAACAAAACCATTTCACATTTTTTTGATTCGGTGTTGACATTTCCGTATCTTCAAACAAAGCCAATTTGTGAAGGCCAACTTTGATACTGGAAAGTCCTGCTGGAAACTTTCAGCAGCGCCGCAGGCAGGTATCGGTTTGAAACCCTCCGACGTCCCAAATTCAACACAAAAAACAGGGCATTGGGCGTGTTCGAACTGAACTGCACCTTGACGGCGCAGTCATCAACGATCACCAGCAGGAAAATCATAAACAGGAAAAAAACACAGTAAAACGGAACTTCCGAAACTCTGTTTAACAAACATGCCAGTTGGAACTGCCTTCACAATCTCACAATTTCAAACTTTGACCTTGGCCCTGCCATACGTGACACCGGCACAGTGGTTCCCTCGCAGCTTCAAGCTCAAAAGACTGAGTTCCCAGAAGCTAGAGATCACTGCCCGAACCACGATCCTACTACGCCCGAGGACGAAGATCCGCAACCGAGGAACCATATATCCAACACAACGAGGCCAAAGGCATGGCTTCAGGTCACCCTCCGGCCGACGAAGCATCCGATCTGGGCATCGAACTACAAACCTTAGGATTATAATTACCTAAAAATCCTGTGCATGTGGGTATGGCATGGTATGGCCCTATCTTTATGGCCCATACCCACACATTACCTATGTATTCTTCAACTTCTTCACCTTGAATGGCGAGTTTTCTCACAAGACTTTTGTCGGCTGGGATCTTCTCATTTTTTCTCCCCGGGATCTCGCTCAAGTCTAGGCCTGGGACGTCCGGATGAGTGCTATTTTGCATGATTGCAGGTTGTTCCAAGGGAAACCTCCATAGAGCCCCGGAAAATCCCAGCGGAATGGCAAGTGCCCCATCCGCTCTTTCATCCCGCTAGTAACTTGGTGATAAATGGGTTTGTCTGAAAATAGGAGCGCACCTTCAAATGACATAGTTTACCAGTTTACCACAATATATTCATCATAAATAACGTCATGTTGGTGGCATATAATCCCCATTGCCAGACAACCCCACACTGTGATAAGTGATCAACGAGGTTCATCGAGGTACCATGCGCGGATGCACATCCACACACGACTGTCCATGAGATGTATCTCAAAAAATGCTACAAAATGAAGGCATCATTCTAGGGCCCGGCTGTATTCTCCCTTGGAACAATGTGATTCATTGATGCAGCTGGCAGTGAGGCACTAGGATTTATGACACGTTGAGGAGTGCCACTTTGTGGTTGTCCCTTAGACTGGTGCTTGCTTGAGTAATTACTCCGGACTGTCACATGAATCCGCCAACTTTGGCAATGAGACATGGCAACGGAAAAGCTGCATGTTAAATTGGAATCGGCACGAAAAAATCAAACATCTAGAAATGGGCTATCCTCTGATTATTTAACAGTTTGCTGTATAGAAGCCATGGCTCATCAAAATAGATGATAAACACGACGATTTACCCAACCATAAAATGGTGAATTTCCATTTCGCAAAAACTGTTAGCCATTTCCATCGGCAATCTCCGCTGCCAAGGTTTGAAAACACAAACATAAATCTACTGTGTATAATAATTTGCCTGCATGTGGTATGCAAAGGAAGCATGTGCAAATGATGACTTAACTTAAAAAAAAAAATGCATGTATTTATGTCTGTATTCGGCTGTCTGTGCACATGCAAATGCATTCTTACATGTATAACATAGAGTAACTAGATGTAATTGATTCGTCAGGTGGCTTTGTTTGCATACGGAAATGCAGAAACCATCCCAAAACAGGAGAGTAATCAAATCATTCTCTGCTGACAATGCAAGACATGAACTAAGACTCAACAAGGTCCATCTCCTTCCTGGGATTTGCCTAGAAACTGCCAATGCAGCGCTGCTAAAGTTCAGATCTTGAAGCATCCCCGACAAGCATCCCAACACTCTACCGGTTGAAATTGGGAAATGGTTTTCAAACTCCATGATACACAGGAGACAGAACATACAGAACCTCAATCTTCATGTGAAATTCATGTTTCACCGCTGCCAACTGCACGACTGCATAGAGGTTGCTAGGTGGCCCCCGCAGCTGCCATCGGCCCGGCCGTCAACTCTTGGGATCGTTGGAATGGCTGAAGGTCAATGCACCGGACAAACAGGGTAGGGATGGGTAGGGTCATTTAATGGCTATTAATATTAAATAAGTATTATATATTATTATATATTATTAAAAAATATTAAAAGAAATATTTAAAAATATTATATATTATTATATATTATTATATAGTGACGGACATATACTTAGAACATCAATTTTTCCAAAATTTCGGCACCTTTTCGTAGAACATCAAAACAACTACACTTAGAACATCAGAAATGTTCTAAGTACGCACTTAGAACATCAGAAAAACAGATACTTAGAACATCTCCTTTGATTTTTTGCATACTTAGAACATTAAACACACATATACTTAGAA